CTTGTAATTTAAATTTATTCAGAAGTTGTATGGCTCTGTTTGAAAAGAATATTATTTGAGCAATCCTGTATTACAGATCTCAAAATAAAAAACCTGCAAAAATGGGCCTCTTGATTATTTTGAGGAATTAGGGTAACTGTATTTTTGGGACAGATTTGATGGCAGCCATTTTGTATTTATAAAAATTGGATAGATTTGCCCTTATCAAAGCATAGTTTGAATTCCTGGCTGTGGGTCTTTGATTAAATTTGATTATTGGAAGGAATTTTATCTCAAAATGTACTGATATCTTGATTTCGGCCGTTTGGTTTTCTGCTAAAATTGCTTAAGTTTGAGGCACTTTTTCAATATCTTCTGTTGTGTTTAACACACTTTTTGAATTTTGTATGATTAGACCAATATATGCTTAGGATCCCTATAAAATTTTATGGCTGTCAAGCCTGCAAAAAGAGAGATATGAATGCTTGAACATTGCTTGGTAGAAAAGTGAGTTTGGGGGGTGGGGTCATAAAAATGGGCGTGGCTCGTTAGTTTGTGGGTTAAACTGAAATTTAGTAACATATTCTCAATGGCAAATGGCTGGTTTAAATAGGTAAATTTTCAATTAATTTTAAAAAGTCGTCAGTTTTGACATATTTGCTTATGAAGTGGCTTTATTGACCGAAGCTGAAAATTAAGCCAAAAATGGCCAAAACATATAATATCATATTATAATTATATCCAATGATTTCTTTTGGGATTGTTGCCTTCAATCTTAATATCTCCTATATATGCAACAATAATATGAATTTGGTTGAAATCTGTTGACCCCCACCTTGCCACCCTCTGACTGGTCTTATCATGGACACACACTTAATTTTCTAAAACACCTCCTTCTGACTCTGCCTCACGTAACATAGAACAACAGACCTTCCTGAGCCTTGCTGCCGTCTCCAGCATCTTGTCCATCTTAATGGTTTTCTCCTCCTGGTCATTCTTGTCTATGGTGGCCTCCTCGAACCCTTTGGCCAGGTCAGCCAGACGGATATCTAGGGCCTGAAGGGACAGCAAACAATTTACCCAGATGTGTTAGAATTATTGAAATAAAAATTAAAAACATACTTGATAACAAACTAAGTGAATACTTCTGAAAACTCTGATAGATTATGTTTTAAATTAATAAAAAAAAAAAAAAGTAAAAAGAGAGCAAATCTTATCAGAAATAACAGAGCCCCTCGTCCTCTTTGATACCATGCGCAGTCTATGTAATGGCCTTCAGCTTGATTTACCAATTACTTTTCATCACATTTATTCATCAATTCTTGAAAGATAATACAAATAAGCATCCACATATTTATAGAAAAAACCCATCTTGTCTCACTTTTCTCTTGTTCTCCAGTTGGTTCATCTTCTGTTCTGCGTTATCCACAGCCTGTGTGGTCTGCTCCACCTTGGCATGGAGAGGCTTTACCTTGGACAACATCATACGGTGGTACCTACACAGATATGGTAATACAATGGCAAATGTTGAATATTTATTATTTATTGTTGTCAGGATGTGGGCCAGGAAAACATCAGAGAGGATACCAATTAAGAGATCAAAAAGAGTCAAAGGAAGACCACAGTAAAGATGAAGAGATGACATTGAATAGGAGGTCGGCTGTAGAGGCCATCTGTCAGCAGTGGCGAGACAAGCTGAGGTGAATGAATGAATGCATTGTTGTCATATTTTATATAATCTGTAATCTAGGACAATACATAAATCAAGCTAATGTGATGAGAAAGATTAATCTAGAATATTTCAAGATCGATTACATTCACTAAATGGAAGAAGCAACATTCTGAAACCCTCTGAATTTCACTTTTTAACATTTTAAGATTTTCTTTATACTTGATTATTCTCACAACTGTAAGCTGTATATACTTAGTCTAGTTACATCTACACATTGAATATCAAGTAAACCTACCTGACCACCCCTCTCACCCATTTACACAGGGAGGCACAGGCCTTGGTGGCAGTTTTCTTCAAGATGGTCTCAGGGTCAAAGGACGGTTTCTTCAGGTACGGCTCCACAAGGTTGAGGGTGGACTCTGGCAGTTGGTTGTCATCAAATGACATCAGTTCTTCTGTGAATCTGGGGAAACAGGCAGTAATCTTTATCAATATATGGATAAATTCATGTATAATCATATTTCTATTATTTATATCATAATTGAAAATGATGTGAGAGTCTACTTTGAAGTTAAAATGACTTCTGCTCCAAGTGCAGTAGAGGCACCCCATTTCACTCTTTTGAGACATGAGGAAAAATTTAATTCCATTTGTGAAAAATTACAGTTTTCAAAAATGAAAAAGATCTGTAATTACCACAGTATCTGAAAACTAAAATTTTTAGTCTTACCTCTCCAGATTTGCCATCTGTCTTTTCCCACCCTTGTGCCAGGTTAAGTCTGCTGATGGAGATTTCACTGGGGGAGGAACAACAAGATATTTCATAAGAACTATTTCACAAACACTACAATGACATAAAAGTTTATAAAAGGTCTCATGATCAGATAACCAACACCTTATTGCTTTTATATGCCTTACGGCTGAAAGCAAAATATCCACCCCCCCCCCTCAAAAAAAAAAAAAAAAAAAAAACGGCAAAAAAAGATTCTAAAATATGTGAAACCACATAGCTGGCAACCCCAGAAATGCTGAAACATATTAAAGCAAAATCAGATAGCAGTATACTTACATATCATGATGATAGCAGCCATCAGGTCCTCTATATCTATGATAGGTTTCTGCATAGCTCTCAATTCATGTAAACTTTCCATGTCCATCTCCTGAACAATCTTCTTGGTGTCTCCAACAATGGCAATAGCCTTGTACACTGCCCTCTCATGGGCCACCTGGTACTCTGGCAGCAACTGGGAGATAAAAATGTGCTCTTTATTTTACTTAATTGTTGCAACTTTAATATAGTATATATCAAGTTGTTATCTACATATACATATTTTTTACAACAGACATTTAAATACAAGTGTACATTATTTAAAAATAAATTGTTCTGTAGACTTGGGGCCTGTGTGTATTTGCTTTTATCCATAGTATCCATTTTATTGTCAAGTAGCTAAAACAAGATATTTGTCTGCTACATGAGAAAGTTGGTTATAAAACAATGAAAATCTTTTAATCTTGTTAAGCAAAATGTTTTTAACTAATATTTGGTATTAAGAAATGTTGTTTTTGGTTTGTCCACACATTTTCTATGCAGTTTTGATTGACCATTCCATTGCAAAATATAAAGTTAAATGTACCTTTTTCAATTTCTGTATCTTCTCCATCTGTGACTTGACAATTTTGACTTGCTGCTCTGTGATAGCCGTGTCCTGGCCAATCTGAGATAATATCTTGATTGTTCCCTGGTGGAAAAGAAGACCATGTTATTGTTATTAATGAAAAAATACCTTTAAATCTTAAACTTTATATTTTATTACATGCCAAGTAAACCATGCTACAACTTTTAAATGACATAAAATTTAAGCTAGTAAACTAGGTAAAACACAACTATAGTCCCTTAATTCAAAAACAAACTACTTGTTTACCATCTTCACAAAGTAAAGAATCTAACAGCCACATTCTATTTTTCTCACAACATCAAATATCAAACCCAATATATATATCCACTTACTGCTTTTCTTTCCTCCAGAACTATTTTCTCGTGTTCTAACTGCTTGTGAAGTTTTGTGGCCAGCGTATTCTCTCTGTGGATCTGCTCCAGAGCTTTGGTAACCATGTCATGGGAATGACCAATCTCACTGTGTCTGGCATTGGCCACTGATATAAACCTATAGAGGAAAAAAATGAAAATTTCAAATTTACTCGAGTAATATATTAATTTGAATACTGTAGGTTTGTAATAGATCTAATTCAAAATCTAAAATAGATCTGAAATAGTCTAAAATTATAATAAATTTGATTCAGAAATTAAATAAAGTAAAATAGACCTGGAATATATGTAGATTAAGGATTTAGACAACAAAACTCTCAATCTACAAACCTTGTATTATAGAGAACAGATGAGAGATCGAAGTATGCAGTATGCTTACTGGGGTGAAAAGGACATTATGAACTCACTTCTCTACAAACTTTTTGTATGCTTTCTGTGATGAAAAGGAGAGAGTGAACTCACCTCTCTACAAACTTCTCATAGGTAGTATTGGTGATATGTCTATATTCTCCAGATCCCTTCTCCTGGCCGTCCTGCTGGTGGATAGCAATATGCATGGAGGACAGCATGTGGGCTATGTTCTCCTTCTGGATCTTGTTCATCCATTTCACATCTTGAAAGTTGGTGAAATTTTAAATTATAAAAAAAATTAGAGAAAGATGAAGAACAACAACAAAAAAAAAAAAAACAATAACAGCAGCAACAACAACAACAACAACAAAATTAATAATAATAATGATATAACTGACTTGACACTAAAATACAATAAAAGGTTCATATAATGGCTTACACTGTTATAATTAGCATATCTCACTACAATTACCTTTCAGATGATAGCTAGCATGGTTGACCAGCTGCTGCCTGCTCCAGTGAGAAAACCAGATGAAGTTGACATTCTTGGTAAAAGCTGGGTATTCACGGCAGATACGTTGGAAATTGGGGCCACCACTTGACGCTATCAGACAGATTCTGAAGTTCTTCCTCACAGTTCTGAAGTCAGTGAAATGAAGATATTTACCTAAGAAGCCTTGATCTAATGGAGGTACTTGCCCCCCCCCCACCCCACACACACACACACACACAGCTAAAGGAAGTTTTTCTAGTAGACAAGGAAATAATGGAGGTAAAAAAAAAATTGCTAGACAGGTTCTTTTTCCATAGTCCATAATGCAGCAAATAAAATTTTCTGTACATACCACTTTTTATCCATGACAGTGAAAAATCTCATAATGCAGGAAAGACTTCAGTAAGAAATCAATCTTTTCACTGGGCAAAAACTATCAAACTTTCGGATATATAATTTCATAATCACAAAAATTATATTTCTATGTAGCATTTGTGGTGCTTTTACTGCAGAGAATAGAACTATAGAGTAGCCTGCTTTTTAATATTGCTGTTACTACTCAATTAGAATGTTCCAATATTAAGAAATTAGATCTTAAAAATTCAGTATCTGTAAAATTCACAATTTTATCCCATTAAAAAGATCAAGTAATTATCACAATTCTGTCTAACCCGATGTACTCACTTGAGGAAGAACTCCCAGGCCACCTCTCTGGTGTATGTCAACCCTGCCTGCGTCACCTCTGTCCTGATGGAGTTAATAATGGTGGTCTGCTCCTCGTAGGAGTACAGGTGACTGATAGCGCCATTCACAACAAACTCCGTCAGGAATACCATGAAGTCCTCGTCCAGGAGATCCTCCTCATGGATTGCAAAGAGGGTCTTTTCAGACTGAAATTCAATTCAATGGACACACATTTAGCTTTTTACCCACATAACAGCATATCTGTCAGCTGCACCTCTTCCAACTATGAGCATACCAGGAAAAAAACAAGAAAAGGCACAAAGAAATTTGATAGTTGCATGAATTATTATAGATTTTATAAATGATCAAATAGAATAATTGAGTTGGCACCCATGAATAAAAGAAGGTCAAGTGCATCTTATTGTGACCTTTACCTTCCATGGGAGTTAAGCACAAATAACACACGGTCATTCCATCCCTATTTTAGTCAAAACAACACTGTACCCACTCACCCTGACTCCAGCTTTAGTATAGGCAGCAGACAGCTCTCCCTTGAATACATCCATCTTGTAATCCACAGGGCTGGCAATGGGGCTGGGGTTGATGGAGAACACTGAGAACCCACTCAGGTGTGCCGCCAGTCGCGCCATGATGGTGCACCGCCCGGGATCACCATCTGCCACCAGAACTGTGTGCGCCACTTCGTGTGGGGATGCCACAATACGGGCCAGGCGGCAAACTTGTTCTATCACAGTCTAGAATGAAAGTTGATACCTTTATTTCCATTCTATGTTTGAAAGTCTAATAAGTACAACCCACAACCACACTATCTTGCAACAGTTCCTCTAATAGTTCAAAACTGTTAAAGTTAATCTAAAATTAAGTCAATACCACCAAATATAAGAGTGGTGCCAGTAAGTCGTTCCTCCTAAATTTAACCTGATAATTTCCCCTGGGTGACCCTCGTTTCTGCCACAACATAAAACATAATTATTTAAGAAAATTTGAGATAAGTGGGAACAATTATAATTCTAAAAGTTGAAAAAACATAATCTATTCATAAAACACGTATTCCGGTTGTCAGTCCAAAGTCATTCCTGTCGGAACACGCCTCCATACTCACTCTATACAAAGGCAGCTTAATCCTAGGATATGCCTTATTGTACTCCTCCACCCCGCGTTCCAGCAGGTACTTCAGCCTCTTCTCGTCCGTACTGGACACGTACATGTCCGTCTTGGATTGCTCTGGAGTGACGTCTGACCTCTGAATGATGTTTCCGGCTGTCACCATGCCACTGTCTTGTTCTATAAGGTTGCTGAACAATGGCTTCTTTTTCTTGAGGAGAAGCTGGATCTGAAAATTTTTAGTTGAGAGTGTTAATGCAATTTTTTAAGACACTTTGGTACATCAATTACATGATGGTTTCTTCTCCACAAGGTCCAGAAATAAGTATCAACTTCAACTCTATTCAACTTCAATTTTTTCACTTGATCTCAATAACTAAAATATCAATAACTACACAAGTCCAAGGAAACAATAAGAAAATGTTTCCCCATAAGCCCAAATGTCACAGACACTCTCCGTAATCATCTTACCTGATCTTCATTGCTGAACTCCTTCCTGACAGCAGTGGCAAAGGCAGTCTGGTACCTCTCTCTGTCCACCTCGGTGCCCATACGCTGACCGTAGACCCAGGAACACTCGTGTTGCCACAGCTGTAGTAAGCTGTCCTTGTTACAGCCTGGGCGCAGGGACAGACACAGGTTCCTGGAGAGATGGAGGGATGGATGAATGAATGAATGAACTAGCAAATGAATGTTAACAATTGTCTAGTTGATTTATAATTAAACAAAGCTGTAGTAAACTGTCCTTGTTACAGCCTGGACGAGGGACAGACACAGGTTCCTGGAAGGAAGGAGGGATGGATGAATGAATGAATGAATGAAATAAAGAATGACTAATCAATTCTCTAATAAATTTTAAAAAAAGTTTTCAGTGGGGGGAAAAATTACCAATTTTTCAGATAAAAAGTGTTGGAATCATTAAAAATTTATTTCTATGTAGCATTTGTGCTGTCTTCGCTGTATAGAATAGATCTATTGGGTGGTCTGCTTTTCAGTTTTGTTGCTACTACTCAGCAGGAATGTTCTAATTTTAAGATTTTATGACTTTAAAAAATACAGTATCCATAAAATTCACAATTTTTCCCATTGAAAAGATACAGTCTTTACTGTTCATGACATGATTTCTAAGGATTACCTGAACACACTGAGGAGATATGACAAGATTTCCTTGAATTACCCGATGCAGTGAGCAGATGTAACAAGTTTTTCATGAATTACCTGAACACAGTGAGCAGATCTTTCATGGTGAAGATATAGTGACATCTCTGGGAAGTGGGCAGGAACATGGTCTTCAGTTTCCCCTGAAGTTCCACATTAACCTTCACAACTTGGGCTATCAGTTTCTTCAAGGCTTCCTCTTCTTCTCTGATCACATTCTGGACCTGTAGGAACACATTGAGGGGAGGATGTTAAAAAAGAAAAATATTTGCAGTTATCATGGACTCTTACTTAGTACAGAATTATGTTTAGGACATTTTTTGCAATAAATTTGCCCATATTATCTATAGAGTTTGAGGTGGTTCTCCTGGCCATAACTTGTCAACTTCTCTATAAGAAAGTGCACTTTTAAATGTCTAATTAAACAGTCTAAAACCCATAGTTTTGTATAGAATACTCTACCACACTAAACAGCACTGACTGAAATGAGTTTATATCTGTGTCATTGCCCAACAGTGAAAAGCATATTTTACAAAGTGCATATATGTGTGCTCTGTGATATACATTTTAACTTTAAAGTGCTCCACAGGGGTAATTTCAACCAAACAAAACTTTTTTTTTTACTTTAACTGGCATTAACTGATAAAACTTGTTCATGTTATTTATACTAATTTGTTCAAGTTTCTTTTCTTCTTTTTTGCTATATCTGTCTTATATAAATCTCATATAGCATATTTGGGAAGTTTGACAAAGTGACATATGTGACACTATAATAAATGTGACAATGCACTGTAATAAAAGTGACCATATGGTGGATGTGACAATGAGGTAGATGTGACAATTATAAAAATGACATATGGTGGTTGTGACACTGTAACAGATGTGACCATGTGGTAGATGTGACACTGTAACGGATGTGACCATGTGGTAGATATGACACTGTGACAGCAATCAAATCCCTGAATTATTATGGCAATATTCTTAGTAATAATGGCAAAACTTGTTAACCATCACTTGCTGCAGAATTAACAGTTATATATTATATAATCCTAACTGTCAAAAATAAAACTCAACAAGACAAAAAGATGTTAATCTTGTCTTTACAATAAAATAATTATAACAACTATCATGTCAACTTCTTAACTCATTGCTCCAATAAATCACTCTCTATTATTTTCCAGCATTTCCTCTCACATCTCCTGAAAGCCAAATTATCTCCAAGCTTCAAATATTATTTATGTGCCCTTGCCTTAGTCTGCTTTTGAAAACAAGCAATAAAAAACATCACTTCCAATCAAAAAGCTGAGCCACCAGTTCTGTTAATAATATTGAGCCAATGAAGCAACTCCAGTCAAACCAAACATCAACACTCTTATCTGAACTAATTGTTTCTATATAAATACTCCTATCACTGTTTTCTAATTGTAAGTTTTGAAAAAAAAATTTCAAAATATGCTTCAAAAATGGATTAATGCCCACAACCTTGAGGAAAATATCCCAAATGCATGCTTTAAATTGAACAAGCAAGGAATCTATTCAAATGGAAAAAAAAAAAAAAAACGTAAAGAAAACTTGTTTGCAAACTAAATTTTCTGAATAATAAAGCATAATAAAAATATTTTAACTGTTGCAACTCTCCTAGCAGATAATATGATAACAAAGAAAAAAGCTTTATTACAGCAAAATTGCATTATTGCAATAAATATAACTCTCCTACATGGTCACTAATTCCATTTTAGATGAACCTTAACATATGAAATTTTGAAAAGAAAAAAAAATCAAATATTTAACAACAAAAATAACTGCTTCAAAACTATATCAAGTATAATAAACTGGGTTAGTAATAAACCAACAAATACAAGCAAAACATCTGCATGCGGTACCAATGATATATCTCTTACCCGGGCTGTCTCCTGAGTGAAACATAAGAGGGTGTCAGTTATTGCTTGCTCTTACTATATATTTCGTGAATTATTGCACATAAAATAAACTGAACCGTTGTGGAACAAACATAAATAAAACTGCGCGTGCATCAGAACTGAAGAATTTTGAAAGCTGAACAAATGAATTAAGACCAAGCATTTGTGTGAAGAAGACTGTAAAAATCAACAATTTAACTTTTTTTGTTTTTGCTTAGTTAGAAGATTTTTTAACCATCATATAAAAAGCAATTACTGTTGACATGACATTTTCAATCAAATCATTTATCTCTTAGATATAAAAGAACTATCAGAAAAGAATCACTGAACATCTTATCTTGACAACCAGCGCCCCCTACCTTTTCGTCATTGATCTCCAGGTGGTGTGCAGCAGAGGCACTGATGGTGACCAGACTGGACATCTCTGGTGTGATGAAGTGGGTATGCATCAGGGTGTTGAAGATAGTGTGCTGCTCTTGGTTCCTGAAACAATGCAATTGGTGCATCAGAAATAATGAGGTAGGTCATGCATTAAAAATAAAATCATATAAAAAGAAGGCTGGAATGTTTCGACATCTGATTTTACTATAATAATCTCTCATTTCCAATCAATTCAGAGTACAGTACACAAATGCATTTTCCAGTTCTTTGCCTTGTCTTTTTATAATGAGCTCCACTGAAAAACTCCAAAGCTGTAGTGATTCTAACAAACAAAACTTTGACACAAAAATTGCTTTTATGAATCATGTTTTCGAATTGCTGAAAAAAGTAAACAGTTTCATAGCAATTACCTGTGAGGCATGGTATTTTGACCATTTTTAAAAATACCAATTAAAATACCATCTTGACACAAGACACTGAAAAACATACTTCAGAAAAGTCATTTTTTTCTTTTTTGAATCATTCCCATGTACTCACCCTGGATAAGGACAGCCAAACACACAGAAGTGTCTGAGCAGTCTCTGGCTCAGCTTGGGCACACTGGCGCTGGGATGTGGGTTCACCGTGGTCACGTAGGTCACGTTCTTGATGTAGCGCCATGCATGTGACTCTGTATTGTACATCCCGCCATCGTCAATGTGCTGTCGGACCAGCTCTACTGCTGATTGGTTGCTGTATTTGTCCACCTGTTCGTGAATAGGATTGGCTTTTAGTGCAGGTTGCGATTTTCTTAATTAAGGAATGTTTGCATTCCGCCCTCAATCGTGTGTTTTTTTTACTTAATTTAACACTTTTTATATAGGAATCAATACATTTTATGATGCAAAAAATAAAACAATTTATATTCTTTATATTCCTTATCATTATCAAAGCATTATTGTACTTTATATTTCCTCTGAATATTCTGATAAGTTTTTGCTCCTCATTTTGTTGTAACAATGTGCACTAACCTGTGCCAAGTTGAGATCATCCACCAGACACATGAGTCTCTTGTTTCCCTTGGGGACGTATGTCCTGCCATGTTTCCATTCCAACCTCTCATCAAGACGACTGTACAGCAGTTTGGCATTGGTGAACCTAGAAAATACACATACACAAATACAGAGTACTGGTAAACATTTACACAAACACTTGTAGCCATGTACACAAATACATGCATATATGTACCAAAATTACCACTGCACACATACATATGCACAAATATATGTATAAATATACACACAAATACATGCACACATGTACACTAAAAACAGTGCACATGTACTTAGGCTCTGCATAAGTATGCATAACTATGCATTTCATACATCTAACCACACTCAAAGTGTTAAACACCAAGAACTTTACTTTCAATAATAATACACTGAGAAAGGCATAAGAAACAAAAAGAGCACCTGTTAGCTATGACAGCCAGAGCCAGAACTTCTGCCACTTCTCCAGAACACACAGTCCTGATCCTGTCTGCCACAATGGCTGACTTCCCACAGCCGTCTTTGCCGACCAGCATGACAGGTTTGCCCACATCAGACAGCAGACCAAGGAGATAGGAGATTTGCTGGAAAAGGAGAAGAAAAAAAGCTTACTCAGAGGAGAAAATGTCAGGATTGTTTAAGTGGTTTTTAATCTTGACACAGCTGCCATATAGATGTCTGAATTAATTTTATTTTTATAAAATATAGTACAGCTCCTTTATATACTATAAAATTGCATACAAAAAACCTTAAGACTTAAACCAACTCACTATCACAAAATTTTAATTAAAAATTAGAAATATCAAACAAAAAAATACTTTGGGAACTAATAACTTTTGTTAGATTTGAAAAAAATCCCATATTCCTTACCTCAGTAGTGACAGTGTGTACAAAAGCCTCTGGTGGAATACCAACATGTGGAGTGGCTGTATAGGAGGGTATGATGTCTGCCCATTTACAGAACTCATGACTCTCACTGTCCACCATGTAGTCAAATACCTGAATATTAAATATATAACATTACATTACAGAACTCGTGACTCTCGCTGTCCACCATGTAGTCAAATACCTGAATATTAAAAACATTATCAAATATTTTTGTAAAAAATAGCATCATCGTTCATCTCCATGTAATGTGACAATTTTTTTTCAATTTGAAGAAAAAACTGAGAGGTAAAGAACTTACTGTTCCATCTTCTGGATAGTCAATGTGACTCTCAAACTCCTGTCTCCACCACAGGTTGAAAGACTCTCTGTGTTCATACTCCAGAGTGCCAGCAAACGCCCAGATACAGGCAAAGTTGAAGTAGCGTTCATATTCCACGTCGCTGAGATCAGTGTAGGGGGCCACCAAAGTCTGAAGTTGAAAAATGTTTCAGGATTTAATTATTATCATTTATTTCAGGGTCTTTGGTATTGGGTACATAGTTATTGCATATTAAATAGTAAACAATTTTCAATACAAAATTATGTAAATGTCTTAAAAACCTGAAAATTGGATATTAAATGTGAAACATCAAATAGACACTGAATACTGAATTACACAACAATACTTAAAGTAGGTCGACCATATTTGATTCATGGATTTGTTAGTCCACTGATCTGAATGCGACCTAAGACTGACCTCAAACAACCCTGTCAAAGTAGTAATCATGTTATCATCAGTCTGTCTAATCATCCTGGTGTAGTGCATTCCTGTCTCGTTCTTCCCTTCCATCGGGGCGCTCGTACACTGCCCCAAGTACTCCAGGATTTTAGGAATGTAGTTGTCACAGAAATTTTTGATCAAGTCCCGATCCGTCTCTGGTCTGTGCTCTAACCACTGTGCTAGAATTAGCTTCCAGCCCACGTCTTGGTTGGTCATACACAATATCCCAACAGTGGCTAGAATACTAGGGCTCACATTATGGAGAGAGTCAACCTAGAATGGAAATGAACCAAAAATTATATTGTTGAGTTATCCTAGTTAAATGTGACTACATTTTCCCCCTAAAAGCATTCAAGGTCATCAAACCCTTACACAGCAAATAAAACCCCTTCATCTGCAAAAATCTTTATCACAAACTACTGAAAAAAAAATGCCACCTATGAGTTAACAGAACTATAGAGAGTCCTGCCATTGAATTTTGATGCTACCACTCTACAGGATTCTTGTAATTTAAAGAAATAAAACAAATACAGTATCAGCAAAATTCACAATTTTCCCCCACTAAAATATATAGTAATTACCCTAACAGCTTACCTCCCACATAAATCTAAGGTTATCAGGCATGATGACCCTCTCGTTGTTTCCCAGGACAATGGCGCCATCATTGTGCAGGATACTTTCCATCAGCTCCAACTGGACTGGGTCAAGCTGTTCAGAAGATATTATAACAATAATTATTATCATAATTTTATCGTCATTATAAAACATACAGATTTAAAGTATAAAATGAAATTTAATATGATCTGTTGATAAGATTTAATAAATTTAAAAAAAATTGATTGTGCTCAGATCTTATGCAGAATAAAACCCTACATTTGGTCATTTCTTAGGAAATCAAATCCGAAATCCGATCAGAAATAAATAAAAATTAGATTTTTTTGGTCACAAGCACATGTTTAGCATTTGGCTAAAATTAATTTAAACTGGTCCAGGGTGTATCTGCCCACCTCTCCATCTAACTGCAGCATCTTCATCACTGGCTTGGTGTTCATGTCGTAATTCATGGCTGCAGATTGGATACAGAACTTCCTGAGGAGACTTGGGAGAAGACCATCTCTCCACTCCCTAATGATATAAATAAATAAATAAATAAATAAATAAATAAATAAATAAATAAATAAATGAGTGCAAGGATAGGATTTTTATAACATATTTTAATTTAAATTTAAGAGTTGTAACAGAACACTTACTTTAGTGGTGTATGATTAATTAAAATAATGTTTTATTTCAGCATCATAACACAGCTCTTACTTGGTGTATGGGTCCACATAACCCAGCAACTCCTCAGATTCCAGAGCTTTGGTAAAGATACTCTGAATACTGATGGTCTTGCCTCGTTCTCTCTCTGCCACAGCAAAGGTTTTGATACATTCTGATTTACCACAACCTGCAGGCCCTGTCACTATAATCTGGAATCATAATGTTATCATGATATATTGAATAAACCTGGACTCTTCATAAATTATCTCTAAATAATAGAAATTACAGAAATTCAACTATGTCAATGCAAAAAAAAAGGTATCATTCAATAATTTGATTGTTAGAATAAAGATCATTTTTCTAACACAAATAATATTTAGCATTCGACAATATATGTACATACTCATTTTCAAACCTAGCAAATACAAAGTTAAAGCAATGAGTCAAGATGCATTAAATTTCATATTCAAAGTAAATTAAAGATATTCTCAGAAAAAAAAAAATTCTATGGGACACTTTCTTTCCCAATTTCAGAAACTAACCGTTTGGTGTGCAGTGTTTAGGTGAGACAGTTGCACCACTCTTGCTTGAAATGCTGTTCCTGGCATCAAGCCAAGATCCCCTGTTGCCACGGCAATGGCATCGTTGATATCCTCCAATGGCTGCTTCTCTACTGGTTCAGACAGGGAGGCGAAGTTACCCACCAGAGCAGAGGCCATACCAACAACAGGAGTGTTCATGGGGACAGAGTCTGAAATAACAGTATGTGTATGCCAGTGAGAAGATGAAATGCTGCAGATATTCAAAACTGTTCAAGTACATTTTATGCAACTGTTATAAACAAAATAGATTTTTTTAAAACTACGAAGCTTCCATTCCAATTCAGGACTTCTACCCAACAAATTTACCAGGTGACTCTTCTGTCTCAGTTACCTTGTTTTAAAATAAATACATCTTTTCACAATTTGTGACTTCAGGATAATTTAGGAACAATTATAATAATAATAATTTTACATGCCCTAAAGCTATTAAAAATGGAATCAACTAAAATATGATGACTATAAATTACACATTAAAAAAAAAAGACTAACATCCAACATCCTGATATAAATGCAAACATAGCTACAATTATCAGTCAAATAAATAAATAAATAAATAAACTGTCACTTATTTGGAACTTCAATTAAAAATTGCTTTGGGGTTAAGAAAAAAATCATTTTAGCATGACAAAAAGTCAGTTACATGCACTTTATCACCATGCAAACAACACATTTTTACTGTCATGCTTAATTGTTCACATGCACAACAAAACTATTCAATATGGTAACAATTATGAAATGCTATGCCTTAAATGCTTTTCTGAAGCATCTCATCTCTAATCTACCCAGAAAAGCAAATATCACAATAATATAATTCTTCAACAAAAACAAAAAAGCTCTAAATTAATTTGTTTGGTTTTTATCTATGCCCTTTCAAATTTAACAACATTAAGCATTGTTATCAATATTCTAAATACTGCTTTAAAATGGATTTAATTTAAAAATAAAAATCATTCATTTCAAAACGAGGAAAACAAAAATCAACTACATAATACTCAGAACATATAGCAACTGTTACAACAATATTCACAGATGACAAAGGTAAGTAATCAATGCCAAAAATAAGCCTTCAACAAATGCATACATATTCAAAAATCATATACATAACAAGAAAAGAAAAACATCCCAAATAAAATAACCACATTCCACATTTACTCACCATCAATTGTTGTGTAAATTAGAAAGAAAAAAAAAACAGGTGTCATTGTAATACTTGTATCTTCTTTAACCCAAGTAGTAAGAGAATCATCAGAGATATTGGGGACACATGCAATATGCATACAGCGTACACCATATAAACACACATTTAGGATAATTGATATTTGGCCATTTAAGCCATTTTCATTTATGCCAAACTCAAATGAGATAATTATGGCTTTACTAATAGTACATAGTAATCACAATGGTAATCTTTCTGATTGATAAAAAAACACTTATCTATAGCATGCCCAAGATTTTATGATAATCGGTTAAGCATAAATAAATTGTGGGGCGAAAAAGCTTTCTGCCATTTAGACTAAAATCTACTTTTCTAACAGTTATGTATTTGTGTTGTAACTACTCATCTTTAAAAAATCATTTTTTTGTATGTCAGCGTTCTCATCTTCTTTCTTTTATTTCAGAACTACTGAACATGACATTGATCAGAAAATGGACACTCTCTGCCATAAACCTTCAAAAATTCTTAAATCATGATGTTCAACCAACGAACATAAACAAGTTTATACTATGACTGTTTACTAAAAATCATTACAACGATGACTTGAATGAGCTGCAAATATGATCATTGATTTTATCAGACAAAACTCCTACCTTTAGCCCCTGATTCCTTGTACGAGTCTCCTCTACTCTTCTTGCCACCCCTGGAAGCTGGCTTAGACCCTGGGGCCGACTTGATCCCTGACTTCCTGGACTCTGCCCTAGATGGCAGCACTGAGTCTGCCAGCGCCTGCTGTGATGTCATCAGTTCAGCTTCACTCTCAGCTTTACTCAATCCTCCGAATTCCATAGGGATATCAACATTAGGCCAGAGATCTATCACCAGAGTTGTGAAAACGCTGGCATCTTTTTGAAGCAGTCTTGGCATGAATGTGTTGCGCAGGGACGTAACCAGAGCCTCGTCTTCATCCTTACGCAGGTTCTGCGGGACTTCTAGTTGACCTTTTTGAGCTAAATGAAGACACATAAAATGGAATTTTCTATTTTCTATTGTAAAATGATGCTGAAAAATAAATTGTTTCTAGAGACTAAATGTGTTGTATAGTTATGAGGTATGGCAATTTGATTCTTATCACACGGCCTTGACAACATGACACTGACTTGTAGCTTTAAACTCAAACATTTTAAGAACAATTTTTTTGGGGGTAGAACTCAAACACATGATAGGGAACTTATTTTTTATGCATAAAATTTGAACAAAAAAAAAACATGAAAGTGACATGTTTAAAAAAAGTGCAATTTTGCTAGGTTATCTACTAGTGAACAAAACGAAAAATATATAGAAAAAAGAAATGTTAATTTATTGCAAAAAATGCTCTCAAGAATTTTTGACTTACACTTTTCTTGTTGCTCTTTTTCATGTTTCTCAGGTTCTACCTCCTCTGCTGCAAGCTCTGCCTCATTTCTTTCTGTTAATTGAAACAAAAAACAACCCCAATGAGAGAAAAACATTATCTAACTATTTCAAAGAAATATCTAACATATTCTGCTTGGCTTCACACATTTGGAATGTCCATATCTACAACTAATATATTTTACAAAACATTCCACAGCATGACAAATTGGCATGGTTCTTTAATCATATTTACAATAACCATCATTTCACATAAAAATGATTTCTATTGGTGCAGTGCTACTAATTCTACAAATAAACATGTGCTCTGCTCCATTAAGATTTATTAATTTTGTTTTCAGGTTTTAAACAAAACCCCAAGTTGAACACATTTTCATCACTTTCATTAGGGAAACCAGTAAGTGCCAGGAAGAAGGATAACTAAGGTTATGGACTGAGATGTTAAAACAATAATGAATTTAATTTATGTGCCCAAAGATTAAAATAACAATAATTATAATAATGCAGGATATAGAAGTATATCACAAAGGTCAATTAGGATGTCTAAAGTATCACATGACATATTAAATAAGTAACTCCTAGGTTAATATTTTAACAAAATGTGAACCGGACTTAATTCTTTATTACTAAGACACACTGTCACAGTTATCATTCTAAAACAAAATGTCTTTGTTCTTAGTCATCGGTGCTCTTTACCTAAATATGATATAATCAGAGGTTAACTTAAAATGTACTACACACTTTGGTCTAATCAAAACTTGTAAATAAAAAATAAACTGAAAATTAAAACAATAAAGTCCTACTGCACACATAATTTACCAGTGACAAAAATTTTTTTCTTGTCTGAAATATAAAAATTCAAAACAATCATTTTCAAATTTTCTCCGTATCTTTATATGTAAAATCAACTTTTTAAGTTGCTATATTCACTATATATACAGCACACAACTATATTGAAAACAAGGCCATTACAATCTTAATTTCTGAGCACATAACCTTTATAACTTGTATCAACTGCATGATAATACTAATAAAAATACAAACAAAATCCTTTATTTATGTGAAAAAGAAAAAAATTTTAAAAATTAGAAAATCCACCCTACCTTCTTCCTCCATCTCTATACAAGTCATGGTGTCTAGAATGGCTCCAGCTTCTGAGGCGACATATTTCAAAGTCTGCAAACTCCAGCCATGTGAACCCTCATTGGCTTCAGTACCTAAAACACAGAATGATTATACTGACTGACTTTTTTTTCTTAACCATTCAAAAAAGCTCCCTGAATCCCAACAATAATTTTTGTATGTTCGGTTACAATAAGTATTACGACTAATAATAATATTTCAATGTATGCCAAGTCTCCTTCATCAGAGAATGGGGCTACAAGGTTATGTGTGGTACCTTTTACATAGAAATGGATGCAATTTCAGAACTCATTATTTATCTTTTTTATTATTTATTTGACTTTTTTATTGCCTAACAAAGGCATATGATTGGACTCCACACAGTTTCATTTATCTGACACCCCATTTTGGACCATTAACTGTTCCAAGTAATCCCCAGTCTGGACAGGCCTGTACTGACCTAGTTTGATGTTGTCTTTAATGGGGGTGTTGGTGCCGACCAGCTTGCTGCACATCTCATAGAGCAGCACTGTCTTATGGGCCAGCTCTCTGGCTCGAGTGAAACCTGGGGAAGAACCAGAAAGAAAGGTAATATTTAGTATTAATGTGAACATTTAGTCAGGTGATACACTGGATAAGGTAAGAATCACATTTATTTCAGCAAATGGTTTACCTCCTACGCATTGGTAATATGGTAGTACTTCATATATTATTTTTTCCTTTCTACTCAATTATCTTGTAAATGTAATTTTAGTTACCAAATTGAAAAAAATATATTGTATATCTGCCATTAACTTCAAAACTTCTGAATTAGAGATGATTTCCTACAGCATAAAACAGCATTAAGTTCAGAGAGATCATCATCCATTCACCTTGACTGATGAGCATGACCTCAACAACCAGTCGCAGGTCAGGCTTGGTCAATGTCACAGTGCGGAACTGATCTAGAAGCTCATTGGGCAACGCTGACACTGCCGAATTAAACAACATCAACTTCTCCGGAACACCAGCTGTTGCCTTGATGGAGCTGTCAATCAAGGCAAAACACGCCCCCTGTGGATTGAGTGGCAGTTCCTCCGCCCCTAAGTTGATGGTTGTTTTCTGGGCTCTCAGAGCGTCATGGACTGCTGTGAGAAGTTGGGCACACACACTTAGTACTGTAGGATCCAGCATAGTCAGCTTGTTGAAACAGATCCAAGAGCCTGAAACACCAATACAATTATTATTATTATCAATATCATTCTTGCAATTATGATGTTCCTAAAATATAGATTGTGTGATAGTTAGGACCATTTTTGATCCAAATTAGTCCTTGTGTAAACAGACCAACAATCTCAATGTCACCTAATCTAAGTGTTGCCACTGGGGCCCTTTTCACATTAACATTCACAACCACTAACCTGTTGTGGCAAATCCCCTGAAGATATCATGTAGCATGAAGCTGTCCATGGCCGCTGTACAGTTAAATGTATACAAAGGCCTGCCCAGAGATCTGCTGAGTTCATGAACTGTCTCCAGTTTACCACTGGCCTAAAACACAGATTTTGATGTACAGTTATAAGAGGTTCATGAGCAAAGAGGAGTTAATTGTACATAAAAGTTGACCAAACATTCTGACTGTGTCTGTATAAAAAAAACTAGTACACCATTGTTTATATACTCTAATAATTTCTACATAACTTAAAATAGCTTTTGTAACCAATGTACTTGTACTAATGTATGTTATTATTATTATTATTATTGTTATTATTATCATTATGATAACTTACAGCAGGTCCCATGCAGAGTCCCCCCATGTTGGCTTTGACTGCCTGACAGAGGGTGAAGAAAGCCTTCTCACACAGTGGGGTGACCACCTCTCTCTGAGCTGACCCCATGTACTCATAGCCATACTCAAAGTCACTGTCCAAACACTGAAAGGAACAAATGAATGGTTAACAGTGAATTATCAGGTTATAAGAGATAGAGCTGCTATGATACCCAGTGGTTCAAAATAATAATATATAATAATTGGCTAGTTTTTTTATTTGTTCGTGGAAATTGAACAGGCATTGGGGGTGAAGAATTTAACAGTTTAAAACCTGTTGCACATTACTTGAAATTAATTTAATAGACCTGTGTCAATAAAAAGGTGCCAAAAGAAAGCTTCAAGATAGTTGTGTATGAAAACTTTTCTATGGTTGGGTCCTATGTATGCATGCAAATATTCACAATCTGATCATTTTCCATTTTTATGGCAAAGATTACAGGCAAGAAGATACCGGAACTACAACTGATTCACATAAAAATTGTTTTTTTTTTCAAAATAATTCTATAGCTCTTTGTTAAAAAACCGACTACAGGTCAGGTATTTTAAGCTTATGTAGAGCAAAAAAAAAAATGAAAATCAAATTGCATCCTAAAGATTTGTTTCCTTTTCTGAATATCTTCTTTTATTCAAATATCATTCATTTTTACCTGTATTTTGATATTCCTCCCCTCCGCCTCAAAAGTGTACCTCAGCTGGGACTGCCAGTCAAAGCTGTCCATCATGTTGGTGTTACTGCTCTCAGCCTTCTTGGATAATCTGGAGCAGAGGGAAAAAAGCAATTAATTCAAACACAGCGATAGCTATTTTTCACTAGGTTTTCCAGCTTTATCAATGTTGAAACTCCCAACCAGTGTTGTAATTGTCAATCAGAGTAATGAAAAAACTTAAGAGTATCTTCAAGTAATTTTCAAGCTAATAGCTTGAGATTAGCAACTCTCAGAGTCATTTCATCCTTTGGAGCTTGGGAAGGTTGAGATAAATCCATTATTGTAGCTGGATCAATCTAACTCTGCCGGAGATTCTCACAAGTGCAATCTCTTGGATCAATCCAGCTAATACAATGTTTGTACCAGTATCTGAACACGGTCCTAGAGCTCTCACCTTTCTAACAGATCCCTCTGCCTAGCCAGGAGAGAGATGAGGCTGCTAATCTTCTGTATCTGGCTTGGAAACAGCATCAGTTTCAGCTCTGTAGGGTCAATCTCCTCCTCTATGGCCTCTTCCTGTTCTTTCTTCACTATGATTAGGTCCATGTTGGTCAGGTTCATTGTGTCCACTGGCGCATCTGTATGGGGCTCAACTGGGACTGAAACCAAGGTCAAAACCATGTCAACTAATTACCCTCAAGGGGCTAAAAATCATCCTAAAGATTTAAAGTCCATGTGTATCATTAGTCCAAGGTTTAAACAAGCTCTACTTGAACAAGATGAAAGTGCATTACTGTTTCAACAAATTTGGAAAAACTGGATGATAACAAAGATACTTCTTCAATTTTTAACAGATCCTTTGTTGGTTGGGTCCATTTTCAGTTCAAACTAGTCCTTGTATAAACAGGCCTGCAATATGAACATCATCCAACAAAATACTGCCATAACTTACCTTCAGCTGTTTCGCTGTGCTCCCCTCCTTCCTCAGGGATAGGGGTCTGAGGGTTATCAATGTTGAGGTCGTACTTTGATCCTCTCAGAGAGGAGTGTCCCAGGCTGCCTTTCCCCAGGTATGACATGGTTTCTGACATCGTCTCACTCTTCTCCTTGTTATCACGCTGACTAAGGGAAAGTTCTGGAAATACAGAAGATAATATATTTATTTACAGACTGTACCTAATGGATCTAACCTTTCAAATGCCTCATTTTATCTAAGAAATATGTTCTAAAAGATGTTTATACACTCAAAACAATGTGCTTTCTGACATGTAACCTTTGAAATCTTTTGAAACAACATATTCAAGTATATAACTTACAAAATTTTTGTTGGAGGAAATATTCAAATCATGCCATTTGAATTTACTGCGCAATTACAATACTCCAACATTACTTTAGCAGTAAATATTACCTCAACAAAAGTGTGTTAATTTGCTGCACTGATCAAGACAGAAATATCCATCACAAATACTTTCCAGTTTTATCTGTCAATGCATTGAATGTAACTTACTTTCACTTTCAGAAAATTTGTCTTTTCTTGCCTGCTTTTCCTTCTCGTCTTCTATTCCTTTCAACATGATCACGGTGGCTTGTAGACTGCTGTTCACTTTATCCAGGCTGGCCTGTAATGTACAGTAGTCAGTTTTATCATGAGGAAGGACAGCATATCATAGCTTTCTCTCTCTCTCTACATATTTTTCTTCCACTTTTATATACATATGTTATGCATACACATCTTCAAAACACACGTAACTGAAGAGGCTCTCAACTGACCATCCCCCAAGAAACGGAATGAAATATACATCTTTTTAAGCCATGAACTAATTGATGTCAATCTAGCAGCCATCTCACCTGCAGTGCCTGTTTATTTCCTCCATCAAACCCCTTCAGAGCCTCCTCTACCTGCTGAGTAAGCTGTGTTTGTGTTAGCAGGTGCACCACCTCAGCCACGTGATCCAGGATCCGGGAGTGGGCACCCTCATGGTGGTGCTGGTCACCATGGTGATTGTCACGGTGGTGATGGTGCTCCTCGTGCTGTCTGGTGCCATGTTTACTGTCCTGGCGACTGGCTTGGCGGCTGTTGCTTCTGCTTGGGGGCTTTTCTGTGATTTGCAAGATGACAAGCAAGAAAGTTGTAGTGATGTTTTTACTTTATAATCAGAACAAAAACAGTGTATAATCAGAATCAACTTTGATTACAGGAATTAATAAAAAGCTGCTCATGCTCAAGTGAAAATCTTTTGCCTTGAGTCTAAGACCCCATTTCCAGAGATTAGATCGATCTACTTTAGATCGACCCAACTCCCTGGGGGTTCACGCTAAATAGCTGTCAGCCGAGCAGATACGAAAGTTAATTACCCCCTTACAGCTTGTAGTAGGCAGGACGGACATTTAAGCCGGATTATTTGACAGTAATCTAGTGAGACTCCCCGCGGGGATAGATCGATCTAAAAGCTCTGGGAATACAGCCTAAGTGTGGTGGCATGACTCTCATGGACCCTTCATTTCCAAACTCCTCCCACCCCAAGGTTCATCTTTGTTACCCTTCCCTATAGACATTAGAATGACTTTATTAGATACAGCTTAGTACATCTCCCACAAAAAGTAAAGGTGTGGGTGTGGTACAAAGCTTATCCCCATCCCTTTTTCCCTAAATCTCCTACCTTTCCCTCTGGACCCCTTATCTCTGGACGGGAGAGTGACCCTCCTGGCTCCAGCGCTGTGTATCTCCCGCACCTTGGGAGGTTTTTCCACCCCTGTTGCCAGTGCCATCTGGTACTGGAGGGCTGTCTTGATGGCCTGCAGGAAGCTGGGCAGCCAGCTCTCTATCTGACCTTCACAATGGATGGGCTGGAAAAAAAGATCAAAAACCACTTTTGAAAAGTAAAATAAATTTACAATGTGAGTGGTCTTTATGATCTGTTCAATTTATGCCTAGTTTTCATGGATCTGTTCAATTTGTGCTGGGCTTTATTGGTCTGTTCAGTTTATGACTGGTCTTAATGGATTTGTTCCATTATGAGATATTCCAATCCTGAACTGTTCAACTGTAACAGTTACAGTTGACAGCTTTTCAGTCACATTTCACACCAATTTATTTCCTCTGATTGGCTGCCTAAAATTACACAATTATTTGGATTTTGCTCCAGAATGATCATACCTGTTTAAATGGCAACTTCTCTCCCAGAAGACTCTGCAGTCCAATGATCTGGAAGTTGTACTTTTCATTGTCCTCCACCTCCTCAAACATCAGACTGCCCACATTCTCAAACAACTTGTTGATATACAGGTTCACCTGGTTAATGTCATAACCTATAAAAGAGATGAATTTTTTATTCATACTGACTTGTATATCAATAAGTGAATGCAGAAAAGCAGAGGAATATTCTACCCCAACAATGAATTTTCCTCCTCAAGCGAACTTTTATTAAAATTCACTAACTCACTACACTGCATTTTCCCCAGTTTCTATTTTAAAAGGAAATGTTGGAAATGTAGACATAAAGAAGTTCCACCCACCATTGCAGACAATGTGTAAGACGTCTTCCATGGACAGGAAGTAGAATCTTGGAAATTTCTGCCGTCTCCTTTCCAAGTGGTTAAGAAGAGAGCGCCTGCAGTGCTCCAAACTGCCATTCATTCTCTCTAAGATGCTCAGGATATCTAGAACAAGGTAACCACAGAGGAGTTGTAAACTTATGTACCTATGAATTAAATCAATATCTAAACATAAGAGTTTTTTTTTCAGATTTTTAAAGTTGCATGGACTGCATGACATTAACTCTTTAGCTTTCATATTCATATCATGTTATAAATTACTTTTTACTAAAATTCAAGTTCCTGGGTTAGTCTCCAAAACCCTAATCAGTTAAAACCTCTCTCTCTCACTCATGCATACACGTACACATGCACGTACACAAGCACACACACATACACACCTCTCTCTCACTATCTCTCTCTCTCTCTCTGTGAAATATTCACATATTTATTAAAAAAGTCATACGTTTCACCTCTAGGCAAGCACAAAATATGTATGCACTTACTTTTCCTAGAGCTGCACTGCAGTACATTAGGGTTTTTCTCAGTGGCTCTCATCAACAGTCTGAAATCTCTGTCTGTTATTGAGAACATAGAGGCATCATTGGACAGAGTGGTCTTGATATCAGCTCCTGAGTAGATCTGGATAAATAATAATAATAATAATAATAATAATAATAATAATCTTTATCTAAAGGTATTCCATACAGGGTATTCATGACAAATCTAATTTTCCGCAGCATAAAAATGCAATTATTCTGTACTGTCAGCAGACCAAATATTGGCTGGTAAACATTAGTGAATTTTCTCAAGCTATTTACAAAACAAACTCTGTTGGTCGTAATAAAATATTGGCTAATACATAAAATTATCTCCATACCTCCTCTAATTCCACCCATTTCTCCTGCACTTCCAGCCACGTGGTCAGCACCGCCTCGATGGTCTGCAGGCGTTTCTGCCACTTCATCACCTCGTCCAGGAAGGAGCCGGCCGCGCTGCTCCCCTGCATAGTCTGCAGCGCCACCTGGTGAACCTCCAGCTCCTCAAATATAGGATCAGTGTTGGTGAGGAGGTAAAGCACACCCGTGTCCTAAAGGATAAAGATATTTCAAATATAGTAGCTACTAAACATTTTTTTTTCTTACACCGTATATTCAAAGCTAGTTCAAAGTGACACAATAAATACAGAAGTTGGGATTAAGTCAAGCGACACATTTATCTTTAAACAGCAATTAAACAGCATTAAAAAATAAAATTTCAGTTGGATTTTGAAGGTTGAGATAAAAAAGTCCTCTAAAGTCTGTCTATTTTTTGTTTGGTTTTTGTTTTTTGTTTGTTACATACTCAAAAATTGCACTAAGCACCATTCCATATTAAGTGCACATACCTCTCCCAAATTGACCAAGGATGCTGGCAACGAGCCAACACTTGCTCTTCTGTTCTTTCCATAGGTACTGGGGTTGGAGATCCTACTGTTGGCCCTCACCTGCTGCCCTCTACTGGCCAGGGTGGTGGGACCCTGCGCCTGGGAGCCAGTCTCAGCCTGCGACGCAGTCTCACTGTGGTTGTCCTGAAAATAAAATGAACTTCATTTAAACAAGACTTTTCACATTGACCATTACATCTTCTTTAGCACTTCTTAGCTTTTCTCAGTGACTTGAGGCACGTTTTATGATGCTTTTGATGCTGAGTAAGTGTTAAAATTATGAAAATAACATATTAGCTGAATTTCACAGTTAGCTAACTAACATTTAAACCCTAATAACAAGTAAATGCATGACTCAGTACAAATATAGAATGTTTCAACCTATAGTGAAAATTACAAAAGCACAAGAAACAACTCAAACAAATGAAAGTAAACATATCCAATGGCAGATCCTACAAAACCTCAATCATTTGTGCAGCAAGAACCTTTACCTCAGCTTTCTCCTGCCCCTGCCCTGCACTTGCTGTCTTGTTACGAACATGTGCCCGCAGTTCAAACAGCTTGCTAAGCCACACCTCCTCATATGTCTTCAGGGACTGCTCTATGCTGAGATCCTTCACTGCTCTCTGGACTATGGCACGGACATCATCAACATGCTCTGAAAACAGTGGAGGTTTACTTTGAATTTTCTAACATCTCTATTTTACTATTATCTAAACTTCTATAAAATCTATGGTTATAAATCCTTAGTGTCAATACATACTCAGTAACCTTAGTTGAGGCAGTCCTCTCCTTGTCATAACTGTGTAATTAATATCATTATCATTAATTTAATACATAATCTGTAACCCAGTCCTAGCAGATCCCCCAGTGTTGTCATCATCATCATCATCATCATCATCATTATCATTATCATTATCATTATTATTATCATTATTATTATGATCACATACTCTGTAAGCCCAGTCCCAGCAGTTCTCCTAGTGTCATTCTCTTCAGTGTGTCATTGTCAATGGCAATGGCGCCTCCCGTGACGCGGACCAGCTGTTTCCAGTGCCGCGTCCTCATGGCGGGGTTACTGAGGTCATCTATCAGAGGCAAACATGCCTGGAATGTGATCACAGAAGTATTAGAAACTTAATGATACAAGCAAAGCATCAGCAGTTATAGTTTACTGACAAGGCTAAGAAATATCCCATTATTGTGGACTAAATATGTATCAAACATACTAGAACACTTGAGTGGTGGTGATGCTCTCATGCAAGACAATTAAGCTGTTTACACTGACTGCAACTCAGCAAGAATCCCTGCTGAGATAGATCGATTCTGCCAATAGGATAACTTTTAACCTGAACATAGCCTAAGTAATACCCCATTATTGAGAAGTAAAAACTGACCTGTATGGTGGTGATGCTCTCATGGAGTCCCATGAACACATCCCAGGGCTGTATGTCCTCAGGCAGGGCACGGACCACCTCAATCTGTTTGCCTGTCTCCTCTCTCAGGAACTTTGTGTTCATCTTCTGCCATCTGTGACGCTTCCAGTCACTCTGCTGCTCATCTATGATTCTATAGGGGTAGGTAGATGTGTTCTTTTTTAAAACTGATTTGATTGAGTTCAATTTTTTTTTCAAATTTAAAATTGTCAATGAATTAAGAAGGGGTGGACTGAGAAAATAACCAAATTAAATTCAAACAATTTTATATGGATATGCAAAAAGATTTCACCCCCCCCCCAAAAAAAAAAATAATAATAATAATAATAATTAAAAAAGAAAAGCTTGCTTAAATAAAATATGTAACAATGCAATGCAATTTGTCAATGCATTTTCGATATAAACTTATTATATATGTACAGCCTTTACTTTGCTTGGCCCTGTTGATGATCATTTAATATTATAATAATTCTTAATCTCATAATTCTAAATCTGTATCAATTACCAACTATATTGATACTGATTTCTCAAAATAAGTTTCCCACTTTTTCCATATTTTTCTCAAACAATCAGCCAGATATATCATGTTGTGCAAGCATTTTTATTTTCAAACAAGAGTCAGGATGATCACTGTTATCCAAACTAGAGCCAGACAACTTACCTGACAGTCTCCCAGACATGTTTGAGATTATTGAGTTCATGTCGACACTGAGGAAGAACTGAGAAGTTGACCACTGATGTCTCTAGCAAGTCTTGTAACTCAATGAGATCCTGTGAAGATAATTTTAATAATTGAATATTAAGAAAAAAAAGGACCAGTCCCCTCCAAGGCAACAATAAAAAAATTCAAATTTTGTTTCACAAGACTCTAAAATGTTCCAAGATACAAAAATGATATAAAAATATCAAAACAAGCAAACAAGCCTAGAGGTAGCATTTTGTCAAGTCAACATACAAAGCACATTATCTATTATTTCTTTTTTGCCTCATTCTCCAGTACAGTGAGTCTCTTGACATAGTTGTCTATCTTACCTGTGCTTCATTCTCCAGTACAGTTAGCCTCTTGACATAGTTGTCTGTCTTACCTGTGCTTCATTCTCCAGTACAGTTAGCCTCTTGATATAGTTGTCTATCTTACCTGTGCCTCATTCTCCAGTACAGTGAGCCTCTTGACAAAGTTGTCTATGATGGTCCAGGCATCCCCTATACTGCAGTCTCGCTGGTAGACATCAGAACTCTCCAGCTCTCCGTTCAACATCATTACTCGCTCTCCAAATGCAGCAAGGTCCTGTAAGAAACATGAACATACATTATTATTTTATATAAAATGAATGTAATATATGGTTAAATAAAAAGAGCTATTTCTTTAAGATGATTAATTTTTGGAAGTATATGTTCTTACGTATGAGAGTGCAGTAACACTGTTCCTGATAGATGTGCACATGTGACCATGTTACATTGGTAATTAAGTTCTTAGCCAGGGAACCTGACTTGAGTTTTTTTTTTTTTTGTCAAACTGGGGCCTGGACAACTAACCTTGGTGATCCTCTCTGACTCCTCTTGAATCCTGGGACCCAGTCTCTGTTTGGCCAGGGACACCTTAGTCTTGAGGTTGTTCCACCTGCCAGGGGCGGCATTGAACAGAAGCTGGGTGGACTCAGGCAGCTTCTGGCCATATTTCTTCAACAGAAGAACTGTCCTGTGCATGGCGGCAAACTTCCCGTCCATTTCCTGCTGCTGGGCTGATACCTAGGGTTAGAAAATGATGTTTTGGTAATAAAATACTTGTAGGTGCTTAGGCAGGGTAGGTTCAGGAGGATTGAAAGAACTGGCCTTTTGGCTTGAAAAGGCCCTTTTTCAATTCACATTTTATTCGGGTTCTATGCCAAGTTTCAACTCTTCCCCTTCGTTACGCAAGTCATCTTATTCAAAAGTCCAAGGTTATCCATTTTATATCAGTTTTCAAAGAGACGTGAATCTCTGTATGATCTCTATCTTATCTCCTATAATATTCTAATACTCTATCTCTGCTCATGCCTGTGCACACACACACACACATACACACCTCGTTGAATAATCTCATCATCTTCATGAAGGAGGCGGTATCTCTCTCCTCTCCAGTGATACTCTCAATCTCTGGCTCTGTTCTCCTCAGGAACTGGTCTAGTCCTTCTAACATGTTGGTCACCTGGAAATACACAGTCAAGGTATAGTGATTACATTGTGTCCTTCCACTCCACCAGAGAAAAATAATAATTATAGATTATCTCAATGTGGATAGGACACGGTTATCAAAGGGCAGCTAGTCAAGACTGTCGAGTCACAGATGAAGAACTTTGTAGTTACAGAACTTGAAAAAATTACATTCTTCTGATTTTTAAAATGTCCAGTATAATGGAATGTCTAATTGCTGTAGTTATCTCTTAAAATTATACTTTTAAAATTATTTTAGATATTACTTTTTAAAAATTCATCACAGTTTGCCCCTCACACAAATGTATTATCTGACAACCAGCCAAATAACTTTTTAAAACCTTTCAAATATACTTTTAAATATACCCAACAAATACCATCATGTGTTTTGGTAAAATCATTCACTCATATTATTCAAATCAGTTAACCAATCCTAATCCCATTGAAAACACTCACCTGATCAGACAGGTACTTTGTGAAGGTCCACATCCACTTACTGGCGTAGGTGGTCAGGACTTGTTTGATGGGCTTCAGGTCCACCCTCAGCCAGCCCACATCCTGGTGACCCTGGAGCTCGCTGATCTCGTCCCGCGCACGCTACAGAGCAAATAGAATGAGGTTAATGAGAAATCAAATAGAAAAGAAAAGCTGGCTTATCTCCTCCCTCACACACTAAATATCAAATAGAATGGGACTTGTAAGAGGATGAGGCAAATATAAATTAAATAAAATTGATTCATGATAGTATGAGGTCATTATAAATCAAACAGAATGTATTTATAAGATAACGAGTCCATTTTAAATTCATAAAATAAAATGACAAGAACTATCAATGATGAATTTGAACTGACCCTGTGAAAAAAGAATTGAATGATGATTAGAAATAAATATGAAAGAAATTACATAGATTTCAGTCAAAATAGAGTAAATGTACCAAAGATAATGACCATCCTCAAAGAGAATAAACATAGGTCAGAATAGCTGGCATGACTGAAGTTTACTGAACTCTCAACACTATAAATAAACTCACCCTATAAATATCTATCTCAGAATCAAACTCATCAATAGAGGGCACTTTGCGATCAGATTCTCGCGTCTGTTTGGGAGTGAGGAAGGTCTTCTCTGCTGTGCCCATCAAACCTGCCTCCTCAATGCTGCTCTTAGCTGACGACACTCTGCAATACACCATGATACAAGATAAATACTTCATCACTGCCTTTGAAAATGTTGTAATGAAATAGTGAGATTTATGTCAGGTAATAAATAGACCACGTGGTCTTGAAAAGACTTGGCATGCTCAAACTTGTTGAAACATTCACATATATCTTGGCTCACCAACATTTATTCATTTATTTCATTTATGGCCAAATTTTTCATTTTCTCAGTTCAATAGAAACCATATAACAAACACCTTCAGTAAAACTGAAAAAATATAATCTGTAGTTTTAGTAACAAAAGGACTTCCACTTTCTTCTGAACTTTGTGCATATTCATGTACGCAGAGATTATTTCAGATGTCACCAACCTTGAGGCACTGGACCTCGCGCTGGCCACATCACGGAGCCGTGCTGCCTCAGTTTTGGCAGATGTTCTCAGCGGATTGGGTGACATTTTTCCACTCAAGAAATCTTGGAATGTCTGGTTCACATCTTGGATCCACAGGAATTCATATTCTTGAAATAGCTCGTATAATTTCTGTAAAGACAAAAATAAAGAGGCATCAAAATTGAATTCAAACTGTTTTAAACAACCCTACAGGTTTTGTAACTTTCCACAGCATTATCCAGTTTAATGTTCATGTATTTTTTTAAGGAAATTAATCACCAATCCAATAAGCTTGGTTCTTAAAATAGACATAATACCTATGAACACTTACCCAATACCAAATACGACAAAGATGAAAATTAACCTCTGATACACACACACACACACTTCCGCATATTGGCGAGCATGCCAGAGTAATATAATACAGAAATAAAGTTCTGAGAAACCTTCAAACTTGTCGTAATATTCCCTCTCTCATGACTCAGTGACAAGCTATATTTCAGACAGAACCTTTGTAGGTACAAACATGGCCTCCTACACATGGTCAGCTTGACCTTTGACCCACCTTGCACTCCTCAGCATTGTCCTTGACGACCTTGATAATTTCATCCACCAGTTGTTGGACCTCCACATCAGCCTCTATATAATCCTGATAGGTGCCCTGAAACATTATAGAACACATCACAGCATGTGCTCAATCTCACTTTTATAAAAAAATATTTTAATATTCTTCCATAAATTAAAATTGCCAAAGTCAAAACTACTCAAATATACTTCTTATTCTAATTTACTTTTTTCTAAAGTATATTACATTTCTGAAGTGGATGCGATCCCAAAGGGGCTTACACTATAATTGTATACACTATTTTGATATCAGAGGATACCAGGTCCTTACCTTGGGTCCCATCATGGTCACCAGTTTGCCTCTCTCCAGGAAACTATTCAACCACTTCTCCACTGTTTCCTGTACACTGATATCAGAGGTGGTTTGGTCAAGAGGAGGTTTGTAGGCCACTGCATTATCTATTAACTCTAGCCTGATGGTCAGAATGGGGATCACAATGTCATCTCCCTAGAAAATAATACCATCAACTGATTACAATTTGTTTTAACTTTATCTATTTCACACCAAATACAGGATAGGTCAGAAATGGGGTAGATTTTTGTGGCGATAAATCAGTCAATTATTTAAATAGTTAAGTAATTAAAATAATTAGTCAATTTGCCAATTAACTAGTTTGAGAGACTCCGGATGATATCCTAGCACAACCTTTATGGGGAAATGATCATATTAAGATCAATAAAAAGATAATCTTCTATAAACCTTGGTTTCGAAAAGGAGTGCTTTACGTTAATGACCTGATTGATAATACTGGTTCAGTAAAAAGTCTAGACGTTTTTTGTGATGAATATAATATAGATTGTAATTTCCTTGACTATCAAGCCGTCATCAGCGCTTTACCTTCTGCCTGGAAAACTGTTATAAGAGGGTGTCAAAAGAATCTTGCAGCAATAACAAATAAAAATCTCGTATTATTAAAATCGAAAAACAAATTAACGAAACTCTTTTACCCGAAATTTATTTCGGATAAGGAAGCAATACCTCTTAACATCCATAATAAGTGGATGGAAAAGCTGAACATTGATTTTCCAAGTGAAAAGTGGAAGCTAGTTCATGCATTGCCCTTTCGAGAAACCAATGATCATAAACTTCTCACATTGCAATTTAGAATTTTACATAGAATTTATTTTACGAACTCGATGCTTTTTAAATACAATATGTTAGAACATGAGCGATGCACTTTCTGTAATGACCCAAAAGAAACTTTATTGCATATTTTCTGGGACTGTACATATGTTCAAGCTATTTGGACTTGTCTCATTCAGAACCTACGTACACAGTACTCTGTTGAATTAAAACAACAACCGTGCTTGTTTATATTTGGAATCCTGGACGACAGCCCTCTCTTAGGTATTAATCTACTACTTCTCTATATAAAGAAATATTTCACTTTATGTAGACAGAATAAAATTACACCTCTTTGGAATGCCTGCAAAAAGTATTTGGAAAAGCAAAAGATAATAGATTTTCAATCTTTATACCTACTGGGTCCTCAAAAGGCAGATAATCTAAGGAAAAAATGGGACAGTATAGAAAAAATATTGATATGAATAAAAAAGAACATTTGTTGTAGACTAGGCCTAATAAGATTCTTTTATTAAAAAAATTCTACATGTATTTTTAATCAACATTTGTAAGAACTTTATTTGTAGTGTGTGAATGGTGTGTGGAAGGTGTATTTGTCTCTTATTGTGTTGTACATGTCTTGTATTAATTTTCGTGAATAAAAAAAAAAAAAAATAAAATAAAATAAAAAAAAAAAACTAGTTTGAGAGAGAGAGAGAGAGAGAGAGTGGCATACCTCACACAAATTGGCCTGTACAATGGTATTCAGCATGGAGCGTAGACTGGTCAGGGTGGACTGCTTCAGACCATCTAGGACTATAGCATCTATATAGTCAACATAGTCCTCCCAGGCTGGGGACGCCTGACTGATCTCTACAGCCTAGAGTGAAATAGACACATCACTTAAAAATTCAAATTCTGTTGGAAAGAATTTCATCAGATGTGTTATGTTATTAGAATAGAGTAATTTTCTTCAATCAACAGATAAATATTCAGGGGCAAATCCAGAGATATTTTCTGACAGTCTTCCAAATTATCTTTGTTGATCCATCCTCCAATTTTTACCATCTTGCGACAGAAAAAATTAGATGCCTGTCAAAGTAAACTTTAAAATTCTGACTGTCTTCCAGAAGACCTGTATGTGTGTCATATTATGTATATATGTGTGTATATGTATATGTATATGTTTAAGTATATGTTTAAGTATGTACCACAAATGAGGATTCCAGCAAACTGTGAACTCTGTTTCCTCCTGGGGTGACATGGCTCTCAAAGTCTTCAATGAGTTTACTGAAAGTTAATATTAAGAAAATTAAATATATCAATAAATTGAAATCAAATTCAAATGAGGGATTTTACCACGGAATTAAATAAAAGTGAATCCAATTAAAGCTGATTTAAAAGAATATTAAGTCCATCCTTTGACACAAAGGACATCATTCAATAAAAATGGACTTAAATAAAAGAATTTGTTTATTTGAAATCTAATTTACTCTAGTACTTTGTGCAGACAATTAAAATACTAAATGACCTAAATATAATTCAATTGTAAAAAAATATCTAACAAGCCTTACTTCTGCATGCTAATCAGCTCATGCATGTGATAACTCCGCGCAGGATCACGTGATCCAAACACATCCACAACACCTTGCGACCAAGAACTCGTGATGGTGGCGATATCGTGGCAATTTGTCTGGACAATGTCCAGGTTCTGGTGGACGTCCATGCAGACCAGAGCTGTGGCTTGCTCTATGAAGTCTGCTGATTCCTCTGTCTTCCAGGTATAATGGTAGAGACCCTGTTCAAATAACTGGAAGAAAAATATGCATAATCAAATATTCAGCACTAACTATCAATAAATTATTGAAATTAAAAAATTTTAAAAATTATTTGCAAATCTTTAAAAAAAAGGAAAAAAATAAAATAAATAATAATAATAATTATTATTATTATTATTATTATTATTATTATTATTATTATTATTATTATTATTATTATTAAAGCCTTCAGAAGGCTTTTGTTTACACTTAACTATGCATATTAAAGTTTAAAAAAAGAGACTGGTTTCAAGGTAAAAATAATTAGAAAAGTGCAGAAAACTAAAAAGGAAAAAAAAAAAGAAAATTGATGCAGATTCAAAAAATTTAAGTCAATTACTACATCAGGTACTTACACTGTCAATCTTGGCCAGTTTCCTCTCAAACAATGGCTTCTCAAAGTCTGTGATATTTTTCATGACGGTGTTGTAGTTGGACACAATGGTCTCCAGTCTGGTGGCAATCACGCGGAGCTCCTTCGAGTTGGTATTCCTGAGAAGTTCCCGTGCCGGAGCAGGCAGTTTCAGATGAAAAGGCTCTTGGGATAGGTAATGAATCTCGCGCAGCAGCAGAAGCAGTTTGGGGTCAAGGTTAACATGGACAACTTGGGGACGGATTTCTGTTTCTTCATCGTATTCTTCTGCTACCTGTTTATAAAATGAATTAAAGCATTTTAAATTCAGTACCAATAATAACATTTTCAATGGGAGATCAAAATTTTCAATGCACTTCTCTTTTATTTCTAAACTTCTACCAATTTTCTAGGCAAACAATGAAAGTTTTTACAATTTTGTGTCTAATGCATACTTTATGCCTGTAGTATAATTTTTATGATGATCCAGTTATGACACAAGTATTAAGTTAAACAGGCTTACCAAGAGAGGCTGTTTAAGTCTTGCTGTCAATTCTGCAGCAATGTTTTCCTGCCAGTCCTTAACAATCTTCGTCTCAAACCTAATGATGAAAGTACAGATATTTATACAGAGTGAACAATTAATAAAATTCGCTGTCATTGGTGGTATTTAAATGTAGACTTAACAGAAATGCAAGAGTTACATATGTGTGTGTGCATGTAAAGATGTAATACGTAGTAGTAAGGGTAGCTTTTTCATCCACCTGAAATTGTAGAAATGGTTGAGAACATACAAGCATCATGGAATAGATAGATGAGCATGAATTTAGCATTGGCTAAAGTATTTCGGCATTTATTATTTCACATTCTCTCATAGCTTCTTACTCTCCTATCTTGTCAGCATAGCCTCTAACCCACCTTTGAAGGTCCCCCATGGCCTCGGAAAAGGCATCCCTTAGCTGCCAACCTGCGTCTCCCTGCAGAGAATGGGGGCTGACACGCTTCATTTTGTCCATTGGATCCTAAAAATATGAAGGCAGCTTTGAATTCTCTGGGGATACCATAAATGAAAATTACAGGTTGACTCATAATTTTTATCATTTTAGTTTTCAAAATGATTTCACGAAATTTGGTGAATGCATAAAATACAAGTCACTGTGGATACTGCATCACACTCCTTTTAACTGTGAAAACTCAAATGTGTGAACACTGATGTGTGAGTGTGTGTGTGCATGCACGAATGCGTGTGTGTGTGTGTGTGTGTGTGTGTGTGTGTGTGTGTGTGTGTGTGTGTGTGTGTGTGTGTGTGTGTGTGTACATGTTTATGCCTTGATCAGAAGATAGAAAGCTGATATGGTAATACATTGCTTTAATGTGAAACATTGTGCTTTTTTAACTGTGACATATACTCCTAAAGTGTACTCATATGGACAAAAATACTAGTACAGTGTTGGATCTGTACTATTCAATCTGATGCAAAAGGTCAGCTGGAATCTGTGGTGAACAGATTGTCTCCAGCCCAGAAATACACCACCTGAGTGGATGGACTGGTTGGTGGAAATATGACTATAATTACCAATTGATGTCACATTTCAGCCCATATGAATACACCTTATTTAGGAATCAAACCTTAATATAGACATCTACACACAGTGCAATGTGCATTCACAAACATATGTCAACCAAACTGAAAACACTGCATACAGCAAAAGTGCTGACAATTCCATCTAAAATCCAGTGGGTAATTTAAAAGTTGACATTAATTGCTTTCAAAAGCATTTGACAGTGGTAGTAGATAAAATGTGACATTGGCAGCATTGTGTGAATTAGATCAATGATGAAAAAACAACAGAAAAACAAGTCTTGTGCTATGTTGCCAGGATGAAACGGAATTCAATAGGCTAACCATGCATTGTTTTAAAATATGTGCAATCAAAATCTTGAAAAGCATGTTAAAACCGTGTAGCAGTGTTAGTGAGTCAGAGTAAATTTTAGTACCTTAACAACTATAGTAAGCATGCTCATATCTACCTATATTTGATTAAATTCAACAACTAGCCTATAAAGTACAGTACAGTAAGTAAAGTACTTACTGTACTATAAAGTACAGTAAGTACTTTACTCAAATTAAGAGCAGTAAAAGTAAATAACATGCAAAGATACGATTCTGTTTGTTTAATATCCTAAGGATCACAGCGTGACATGCTAGTAAACAAAAAGTCTATTATAAATCCATAGCTTGTTTCTATCCACATGAAACAAAGTGTCACATTAATGTTAATTTAAAATCATTTCATCCAGCTATAGTTTTACATTGATCAGTTCCAGAGATCCTAGGGCAGACCCAGATAATCTACTGAGACCAAATTCCTTCATCTTATCCATAGGCCCCTAAATTGAAACCAATATTATAGAACAGCAATGAAGTTGAGTTTAGTAGACAATACAAGCATAAGCAGCGTGGAATTAATGGAGCGCTGAAGTCAATGGAACATGATGGACACAGTACAATTTTAAAAGACAGGACACGTTTAATTATAAGGACACTAATTTCCATAGTAAATATACATGCAAATATGTGGCCAGATTATGATTTGTATCCACACTCATACGCACACACACATGCACAATAACATAAACACACACAGACACATGCATATGCAAACATGCTTTAACACATGGCGCTATACACACACACACGCGCGCGCACACACACACACACACACACACACACACACACACACACACACACACACACACACACACACACACACACACACAACGTACACGCCCATACACAAACACAAAACATTTGATTACATATGTGCATATGGCTTGTTTCAGCCACTCAGCTTTAACTTCATCTGGTCTGATAAAAATAAACAAAGCTGAAAAAAGCATCAAAATTTCAGTCAACAAATTTTTGTATGCACTGGACTAAAAACCTATGTCTGATAACTTAACACAGAAATTGAACTCAAGTTTGGCAAAAATTAAGACAATTTGACTCAGACTGAAACAAACAAAAAAAAAAAATGCGGCAGCAAGAGCAGAGAGCGGCATAAGCGTGAGAGCGTGGCTCAGCAAGTCAATAAAATCCAACCCAGCACAGACTTGCCATTACCTGTATCCTCTGCTTCAGCCCATAGACCCACAACAGCTTACTGACGACAGGCGGGAAGTTCTTGTGTAACGGGGCCTTGCGCTCATTCAGTTGAAACAAAGTCCGCACTTGGATTAATTCCTCTGTGAAGGATCGTACCAAACGCTGGTCCTTATCCTTTAAGTTGGCCTAGAAAAAAAAGCAAGGTAAGAATGCACTTATTTGAAATTGAAATTGCAATGCTCAAAATTCTAAAAGCTAAGAAATTGGCTTTATAAGTTTCTCTTCCGTTTTAATTCAATTTGAAAATCTTTCAGCTGACCCTCAATCAATTTTCTGCAATTTACAGACTTCTCAGACTGTTACAATTTTTTCTAGACAGATAAATATATTAAATGACTACATTTGAATCTAATTTCTAAATAACAAGACTCTACAGTACTCCTTAACACCAAGAAGAAAACACAATCTGGCAAATAATTTAAAGGGATTTAATAGCTTCAAGTGTGTCTAAAACTCACTTTGGTAATTTGACATACGTCTGTGGATTAGACTTGTACAGAATGACCTTTCCCACCTAACCTTTGACCTTTGACCTACCTGTACCAGCTCCCTGGAGCTAATTCCCTCAAACACCTCCAGGAGGCGCAGCTGTGACCCTATGGTAGGACACTGCTGAAAACTCATTCTCAGGATACCAGCTATTTTTCTCTCTAAGTCCTAAAATATACAAATAATAAAATTAATCTACTTTATATTAATAATTTTGAAATATTTTACTTAATTATCATCTTATTATTTTAGAGTTCAAAACGGGCCTGTCTGTGTAAGGTTTTCCTTCTCGCTTTCTTTCATTCTATCCCTCAGTTATTTGCCGAAAGAAAAGTTAATTACTGAAGAAGAAAAAAAATTTTTTAAGTCACAACCAACTCACCTTTTAAACTTAAAAAAATAAAAAAATTATAACAAATACAAAGCCTACTGACTTTTATAACCCACTGCCTATGTATGAATCTTCTGAGACAATACCATACAATACCTTGACAACGGTCCTAAATGTGAAGAAAGCCTTCTCAAACGCCTGCGTCCCATCCACACTCAGAACATTCCCGACGTGTGCAAAGAAATCATCCATCGCACGTGCGTAGTTTGAGTGGATCTCACGCACAAGGGCATCAAGACTGTGACTGCCAGCGCCCCCTATCTCTGCAGCATCAGCAAGGAGGCGAAAGTGCCTGGTGGTTTGCACAAGTTCCAAGACATCATTGCATCTGAATTGAACAGTTAGGTTTATAATATGAGATGACAACTGGTCACATAGAAGAATGTTGTCCCACATAATTGTAAACTTCAAAGCATTTTGTAAAAGCCACATGAATGAGTATTTGGTTCAGCAAAATGAAATCCAGACTGGAGTAGTGAGTAGTATCCAGAGATTTTTTAAAATCATTTTTAACCCTTTTTTGTGTTGAAAGTCTTTGAGTAAATAACTAGGCAATATAACAACATTTTGCAGAATTCTCCATTCCAGTTTTTTCCAATAAAAACAGTTAGATAATCCTTAATTAGAAAATTCAACAAGAAAAAGAAAGCAAATTCCACATTCAATGAAAAAAAAATTGGTGCATACAGGACTTAAGTGAAGTCTCTTAAGAAAAAACTTTAACACTTTTTTACCCTCATGCTGAAGTTATCCGATAAACTTGCACTTATAATTATGTGTAAACTTGATCATAAACACACAATATCCATACTATTATTATAATCATTATCATAATTACCTTTCCATGAAGCTGTTCAGTAAGTCAAAACAGGGCGCATTCCTAGGAGGCCAGGGTGAATTGAGGAACAGTTCCTCCTCTCCTGGGGCGTCTGTGCTGACATCCGTCTCCTGTCGTCTCAGTCCGTACTTGGGCTGGTATGCATGCGGCCCATATAGCTTCGTGGTCCAGATCTCTCCTGTCGGCCGTCTGATCCTGTAATTTTCAGTAAATAAAATAAGAAATGTTATTCTAAAATAGGCTTTTTATTGCCTCTGGAGTAATGGTGATTAAATGAGCTAATTGTTTCTAAAGAAACCAAACTTTTTTCCACCTGTAAGGTATAAAATTTCAATCGATCGATACTTCGCCAAACCTATGACAAGTCAGCCATCTTGCCAAAGCAATCTGAGGAAGGGTGAAAGCATCTGGGATATAAGAAAATGATCAGTCTTGTAGGAGACAATTTACTTTACACTGAAAATGGTACATACAACTGTATGTGCAATAAGTAAGTATGCTGAACGTACCTTAAGTTTTATTATGATTTGTTAATAACGTACTTCTGATGTAAAATCAATAATATTTATCAATGTGTGTGAGTGTGTGTGTGTGAGAATGCTTGAATGCATTCCTGTCCTGAGATATGCACTGATATATCTCTATTGTAGGCCTTTTCCATTTTTAAAGCAAATTATCAAATCAACTGAATAAAAATCGATCATGACTACCATATCTTATACATATTCAACAGATCAAACACAAAAGAAAACATAAAAACTCTGCAATTCACAAACCAGTTCAGACTGCACTTGTACACAATTCCAGAAAGACAAACAACAAACACTTTAAAACATAAATGATACAGTCTCAGTTGTCATTCTAAAGTGTTCCCTGAATTTTAATATAGAACTTACAGAGAAAAATATAAGATAAAACATAAGTACACTTTGGGACAAACAAGAAAAAGAAGATCACAAATCCATCCAGTCAGCTTCAAATCTACTATGATTACAATTACTCACTCTTCTTTTTTCCTATTGTAAATTTATGATAATAGCATACAACATTTACTTTTAGCAATGGGATCAGTACAACATAATTAAAATGATCATATACTGTAACAACACGTAGCCAGGGTGGTGACACATGTGATTATTATGTATGGACAACTTACATTTGGACACATGCATGAAATATATGACATATAATGTTATCAGTCATACACAGTTGTGGTGGTATTTGTAAAATAATTATTTATAACTGCCATGCTCTTAAAATCTATTAGTATCAATTTAACATTATACATAAGTTAACACATATCAAGAAAAAAAATTAATAAAACATCAATAAAATATAGTTAAAATAAAACGTCCTGACAAGGGGAATTAGAAACAGTAACAATCTTATACCAGTCCTGAAAATTGCTTTATATTTTCAATTTCTTTGTTTTAATCCCAGACACTACTAAATTCTTATCATGGGACAAATGTAAAAAAAAATGAACGAAAAAAGATCAAAACACTTGAATGTAGTCAATTTTCAGACCTCAATTCTGTATCACAATTATCAATGTGAGTCATGACTAATACATACATACACTTCTATTTCTTGATATTTCAAATGACCCATTTAAGTTTACAGAAAGTCCTGAAGAGAACAACTTACATTTTCTCAGCATTTTCAGCCACATTCCTGGTGTTAATCTCATCAGCTTTGTCTTTGTAGTCAAGATAAGTTCCTCTGTAGGCAGCACAGACACGTAGAGCTTCTTTAAGCTTGGAATACGACTGAAAATAAGTTGACAAATATTAGAAATACATCATAATTCTGAAGAATCACTCTAGTTAGTATGTTTCTTGAAAATCACTTGCCATAAGGAATTGTATAACTTGGGTGGGGGGCTCAATGACATTAAACAATGTTTGCTATGCAAAGTAAGTCAAACATAAAACAATAGACAAGGACAATGATACTGTTAGTGATGCATGGGCCATCAGTTAGAAAATTTACTTAGTTTTTTCTAGTTTAACTTGCTATACTGTTTTTCAGAATAGGGTGGACAAGGGGGACCTCTGAAGCTAAGTGGAAGGGGACACTGTACCTTCTCTGATCTGCCACTGATCAGGATGAGAAAGTGAAAATATGGTGTGGGGTCCAGACCTACCCCTACCCCCTGTACCTCCCAACTATTAACAGTAGTTGTACATCAATGTAACTAACCTCCAAGGGTTCCCGTAGCACATCAGCTCCCACCATAGCCATGGCTCTGTGAACTACTTCATTAGAGATCAATCTCAGCATATTATGGTACTTATCTTCTGCATGGTAATACCTACAGTAAAGAATAAAATGTTCCAGTGCTGAACAAAAATACATTGTCAGGTATTGCATAATTTTAATAATTTCATTGAACCTTCAATATTATAAAGAAATATGATACATAAGTTCACATCCATACCTTTTTTTCACAAACTGTTGACAGCTTAAAAACCTTACTTTCTCAAATTTCCCATTTCGTATCAGATTAGTTGTCAACAGTAAGTGAAGAAAGGTATGGGTCCAAAAATTATGAATCTTGCTTCCTAACAGATAGTTTATAGAACGGTTCCATTGAAATTGCTACTGAAATATGAAATGGAAACATGATAAATAAATAAATGCTAGAATAAAATAGATAAAAAAAAGTCAGCTTTGTAATTTTTCTTCAGGTAAGCTTTAAACATATTGATTTCAAACTTCCACATACCTTGAATTCTGCCACACTAGCATCAAGGTGTGGATGAGGGGAGGGAATAACTTCAGCATCTCCTTGGGGTCCACGGCCTCGTGAAGAGCCTCAAACCATGGAGTCAATGTCTTCAAAAACATCAAATTTTCTTCTGTATCTATCAGGGCCTAAAATGGGATACAAAATATTAATTAATACATAATAATTTACTTAAGACACTCAATGTTGAATCATTTATTACCCTAAAGAATCAAAGCAGGTCTTTTATATAAAGAATATGTTGTAAATGTACTGATAGTAATTTAGCAATCCATTTTTTTTCACACACATGCACAAGCAAAAAATTATAATAATTTTTTTCACCTATGCAATTAACCCCCCCCCCCAATGTTCTGAAGTTGTTTTGCAACTAAATATCAAAATGAACAATTTTCATATTTAATCTGAAATTCTGATAATCATTATTTTCTCCATACCCTTTAGTCCCACATTTAAGAATGTTATACATACATAAATTTCCCTCCAACAATTCTGGGGATAATACCTTTGAAATCTCCTTCCTGACGCCATGAAATGAGTGTGCGTAGGTGCTGTTTGCTTCCTCCAGATTCAGAAGAATATCTATGGCAACAGGAGAGTCCAGCTGGGCGTTGATGGACTTCAGTTTGTCCAGTCTTTTATTCCACATGTCCACCTCGTCCAGTGGCCCTGGCTGGCTGCCATACTGTCTGTTCAGGTCACCTATGGCATCGTGTTTTAGCACACCCTAAAATTAGACAGAGAGGTCAGTTTTCAGCGGTGGACATAAACCATCTGCTGGGTCTTCCAGAAAACAGTCAGAATTTACAATTTTACATTGACAGATATACAATTTTTTAGTTGGAGGACGGTTAAAAAAGGAGACTGGATCAGCAGAGATAATTTGGAAGACTTCAGAAAATATCTCTGACAGACCCCCCCCCCCCCCCCCCCCCCCGTAGTCAGACCAAAATAACCATCTATCTATCTAGAGACATATCTGTGAACATCTGTAAAAAATCTATCTGTCGCCCTGGTAGAAGGTACTTAAGCACAGGCTAACACTATACAGAGAGCCCCATTAAATATGACCTAACAGAAATCAGTAAAATAACAAGAAAATACTCCCAGCATCATTTACAAAGTGCTTACCCACTAGTATCTTAACACCTATGACCTTACCACAGTTGCTTCAAATGAGTAAGATACATTGAATTAACATAAAATGGCCTGATTCCCATTGTACCTTGATCTGTTTTATCCATCCTATGACAGTGGACTCTAACACATGGAGCACTGCCCCTCTACGGGTGGGGTTAGCTGCTGCCTCAGCCAGAACTTCAATAGACGGGAGAGGGAGGACGATTTTTCCCTAAATATAAGTGAAGTTGGTTAGACTAAACAGAAGACAGGAGTATATAGAAATGCTTTATAATTTTTAAGTGCTTCTCATATTGCATTTTTTAATCTCAACTTTCTACTCTCAGCATGATTTGCCAGTATTTCTAGCTACTGGATGGCAGAGATACACTGCTGCATGTAGTTAAAATATGAGTTGAGTTTTCAGTGTTCTCCCATATCCAGGTTGATATCTAGTAATTTTAATGTCATGACGACAATTTTAAATCACAAAAAATCAACTCCATTAAAACTTAACATTTATCAATTCAAACTTTAACACCTACATCCACGTGTCCCTGTGACACCTCCACAGCATTCATCAGTCTATGCAGTATGTCCATCAGTTTGTCCGCACTGACCCCACTGGCCGTGGCATGGGTCTGATCAGCACACAGCAGGGGCAGGTAGACCTCTCTGATGGTCATGTCCAGGTGTTCTAGGGGCAGACTGGAGCAGTCCAGGTAGGACACTTCTGTACCTGAAACAAAGGGGTGGAGATGAGAGGAATTCTTTTATAGTAATAATTGCTTCCACCAACACCTTGTCAATGCTGTCCATAATAAACCTACAAGTGCCATTTTACAAGAAACCCAACCAAATAGCAGTAAGATAGGGTTCAACAGATTTAAAAACAAAGTAATGAGCAGACTAGAACAGTCCAGGTAGGGCATCTCTGTGCCTTAAACAAAATATAATTGCTTCCACCATTCATTCTAAGGGAAGACTAGAACAATGTAGGTAGGACACTTCTGACCCTGAAACCAAAGAGATTGAGATGGAAATTCCTTTACTAGTATAGGTGCCCTAGGGGAGGACTAGAAAAGACAAGGTAGGACACTTCTTAGTTCTATGCTTGAAACAAAAGGGTCAGAATAAATTCAAATTAATTGTCATATAATTGCTTCCAATTGTAGTAAAAGCTTAATAGAATTTTTTATTTATCAAATTAAGTCTAAAAGCTAGTGTACATACTTATGTTGTCCTTGGTGAGCTTGGCTCCCTCTGCTTTGAGGAAGAAAATGGACTTGTTGTGCATAGTCTGTGGGGGCAGGAGGGAGGCGATAATCTGACGTGGAGGTCGCACAAATACAAATAACCTCTTCACATCTTCATTGTTGATAAATTCATGGAAGGCAAGCCTGGGTAAAAAAAAATTCACAAATTCAGTATCACTGTCAATCTTCATGCATCACTGATCAGCATAAAAAATTCTATTCAAAAAAGTGATAATTCAAATATAAAACAACTCATCATTTCACACATAAAGAGAATAACTTAAGTGATATATATATATTGTTGAATAACTCCACAATTCATATGCTATCTAATGCACATGACATCAATATTCTCTTTTTACCTGTTTTCATCGTTCATGAACATATTCTTAACATCTTCATTTTTAGGACGGAGTGAGGAGTTTATGCGGGTCTCCAGCCATTTCAGCCTCTCGTCCATGGTGGCGGAGGCCATCTTTTATTGCTTTTATCACTAAAACAGAATACAACACTATTTTTCAGCATCAGTTTTAGGCAAGTAAAATGACATTTAAAAATCAAATGCTCCATTTTCTTTTGTCAAAGCAAATTTATTTGAAATACTTCACCCAATCATTTTCTGCATCATTCAACTTCCATGTAGGTTTAGCATTAACATTGAGCTCTCTGAGCAACTATTACACAGACTGAGAGACCATTGAGAAATTTTAGATGAAATGAAATTCAGATGAATAAAAAAAGTTTCCCAGCGACATGTTTAACTCTCATTTTCTTTTCTGGGGCAACAAAAGCAAATGCAATGCCAGTTGCTACTATTACTACTACAGTATATATATATTCGACTCCTGGTGCCCCGGTGCATTTAAAAAAAATAGACATAACAACTAATTTCTCCTTTACGAAAAGCATTTTTCAATACATAGAAAAGTATGCCTAAGTTCGTCTAACTTTACACCAGGTCATTTTAAGCTGATATTACCAAGCAGTTATCATACACGGGTAGTGAATTTCCAGAGAGAGAGAGAGTTAGCAGGAGACACCTGCTGGCTCTGCAGGAGAGAGTACCGACAGTGCAGACGACCAACATCATTATAAATTTCACTCTAAGAACTGTAAAACCTTAGTACAAACCTGTTTAGTGAGCTCCGGTTTAATAAAATTATTTGTGTGGTTAAGCGCTAACACCATAAATACAGCGCATGAATATACCACCTTTTTGTTTACTTGATTTGTTTGAATTCAGTAGCATTCCCTCCGTCCGCCATATTGTTGTCTTGTTGCTACCTTTTCTAATTTGCATGATCACGTTGTAAAGAGATCCATTCTATTTTTATTTATAAAGCAAAAATACCCATTTTCTTTATACACACTCAATATATGTAGTAAAATATGGAGATGGTATCATACCAATTAGGTATTAGTAATTCTCATTTTATTTTTCTTTTGTCTTTCCGGCGCACCTGTGTAACCTTGACCTTGACCTAAACCTTGTAGTGTCAAGCGAAAGATGAAAGAGGATGAGACGGCAGTCTGGTGTCATTTGATAAAAGGTGATCCGTAGTTGTTATCGTAGAACGAGATAGCTTGATATATTTGTAAGTTACATATTATGTGGGTTTTAGATGGATGTGAGATGTACATCTTTGATTCTGTGGTCAGGGGATTTTTCTTAAACGTGATCACTGAAAGGCGACATTGTCAAGTTGCCACTGAAATGCAGATGGTTATCACTGCCCGACATTCTGTTTGATATCGGGTTTAATGGGTTATTCTCATCTAGGTCAATGTCTATTCCAAATGCTCTTAGTCATGACTTAAGTTCTGTGTACACCCTTCACGTGAGCGTTTAGCTATAAACTTACTACTAAAATATTGACCATATTGCTCAGCATACTGTAAACATTACGAATGAATTTATGATTAATTTATCAGTTTAGTTATTACATTCTGTGCAGAAACGTGTCAGAAGTATTAGCATGATCTAAGTAATTCATAGAGTGTGTAGGCAAGTTTATTAGACAAGTACAATATGTATTTTTGTTTTAGGCAATGCTGTGGGACTTAATCTGAGAACTGGCGCAACGAGACACTCTAGGCAAAGAAAGGAAGAAAGCAGACACCGTTCTACTTGTACATAGGAAAGTTAATAATTAACTGTACAAATTTTTATACTGTTTATAATGTAAAGTTCAGTGTGGAATATTAAGTGATAATTTTATGAAAAAAGTTCAACTTTGATGGGAATGAAATTCACTATGGATCGCTGGCACTGGACGATAAATGTTGTGAGCTTGTATTTATGTTTACTATACACAGTAGTTGTAGCACTGACAGATACCAACTCTGAGCAGGTTCTTTTAAGAAATTCAAAGTCAGTGAAGTTCAAAGAATCTCTACATCCTATGTTCACCCAGAACTCATTTCAAGCAGCTCATCGCCATACTAGTACACATGGCAGGCAAAAAATACATAAACCCACTATAATGGCTCATACAGGTGCTGATGTTGACAGAAAAGAATTAGACGTTAATTCTGAACAGGTGCTGCAATATCATGACAGTCTTTCATTGTTTTTATATAATCAGAAGCATAATCGCCATCAAATTCATTTTAAGCATAAAAATAGCTATGGTCCATTAATGAAAACTCAACTTAGACAACACTTTGAAGCTATTGGAGACAGAACTAGACCTTCATCTAAAGACATTCAATCAAACGCGGACAGCAGGTATTTCTCGAAGAAGGACAAAATTTCACATTTTCATGGTGATACAGAACTTGAAAGACCAAAGAAAAGTATTTCACCTGCTAACAGTAAATGGCATGAAATCAAGCTAGTACACACAGAAAACATTTCCTCAAGTATTTCTCAGCCAGCTAATGAATTTGAAGATGAATCATCTTTGGTTAAAAGACACAGCAGCTCAGGACAAGGATTTAAACTTCAGTTGTGGAAAAGTAGACATCTTGTGAATGAAGCAGTGAGGGAGAGCAATGTAGTGGGCAGAACAACAAGTGACCATAACTTAGCCGGTCAACCTGGCCAGGGGTACTATATAGAGGTCAGCATTGGGTCCCCACCACAGCAAGTAAGTTCAGTATTCTACTCACTTACAAACCTCCACTTGTTAATCAATTATATATCTATCTCTTTTATTTCAGTATGTTTGAATTAACTTTTTCCTCCCTGTAGGGCAGTGTTGATCTAAGTTCAAATTTTATGTCTTAGAAATGTTGATCAATACAGTAATTTGAATAGATGGGCAATATCAGACTCTTTTTTTTAAAATAAAATGAATGGACTCTTTCTCAAAGTAAGTTCTTAATTTTTTGATTGGATAGTATGCCAGTCCTTCATTTTATGGTTTATTGTCTGTACATTTGGCAGTTTTGCTGACTTGTTTCTAGTTAAATGTGTTGGTAGACACAGGAAGCAGTAACTTTGCAGTGGCAGCAGCTCCCCACCCGGATATCAGCAAATATTTTGATAAATTAAGGTAAGGTATGATTTCTAGAAAACCATGGTTGGTATGTCAACATATACATATTTGCGTTCAAAAAGTCCGATGTTCTCAGCTTAAAATGAGTTAAAGAAAGAAAAGCAAATTATCTCCTGGGAGACTGTCATCAAAATGATTCCAAATCAAAATAAAGGATAAACTGTTGCTTTTCGTAAAAAGAATTCTAGTCGTCGTGATTCAAGCCTTATTTTATTGTTCAAACTATGATTAATGTTACAGTATCTACAGTGGATGCATAACAGTAACAACATCTTTTGCTCCCAGCAAAAGTCTTTGTAAAAACATCATCTCTAATGCCCTATAATCAATAAAATGAAATGTAATTTTTCAGTTCCTCCACATATCAAGAGAATGGCACAGAGGTCTATGTGCCCTATACACAGGGACATTGGAGAGGGCCACTGGGAAATGACATCATCAAGTTTCCAAGTATGCCAAATATTACAGCCAGAGCCAACCTTGCCCTCATTACCAACTCCAACAAATTCTTCATCAACGACTCCAACTGGCAGGGAATTCTGGGATTAGCTTACGCAGATATAGCACGGGTATGTGTTCTGTAGCAAGCCGGAATTTCAGGGATGCTTAATAATCTTTTTTGTTTATTGATGAAACTTGAATGTTGAGAAAGCTGAAATGAGTTTTTGTGATTGGTGTTTACATGTTTTGACTCATGTTTCTTATTTCTCAGTTCAGACTTAAGAGTATCTGATTTTAGTAGAAGTAATGAATTAATACTTCAATAAAAAATCATTATGATGACAGAATACTAAAGGCAAAGATGATTGTGTATGAATTGTATTATTTATGTGTATGAACTGTATTATTTATTTATTTATTTATTTATTTATTTATTTTTAATTTTAATTTTATTTTTCAGCCTGATGCTTCAGTGCAGCCCTTCTTTGACTCCCTAATCCTGCAGAACACTGCCAGCATCCAGAACCTGTTCTCCCTGCAGCTGTGTAGCACTATAGAGTCCAAAGATACAGAAGAGAAAGGAATGGGAGGAACACTGGTTAGTATCAGACCTTGAAAATTACTGAGACATTTTCTGACTTGAGACTCAGATTTATAAGCATAAATGCCCAAATATGTAAAATTACTTGCCACAAGCACAGCATTTCATTTTACGGGCTGTTTATCCGCTTGTATGGAAGCTGGGCAAATAGTTTGTAAGGTGCTAAGCTTGTGGCAAGTTGGGTTAGTTAATTCAAGCCTGGAGTCATTAATTTGTATATTTGTGCTCTTAAATCTAAGGCTGGTGTTGGAAAACGACAATTATCGTTTATGAGGTCTGAGTGTTCTCATTATTCTGTAGACCTGTGACTGTGACAAACCCACTTTTAGGACAAAAAAATGTTATAATTGGCCAACTTATATGATATGGTCTAGGTTGGGTAATAAGCAAAATGTATTGACATTTTGCAAATTTTTGAACCCAGTTATTTACAGTGGTTATGGGAGGAATGTTAACAACAGCAACGACATTTTTTGCTTGCCCTCTTTTTAAGTATATTTTATCTTTCATAGCAAGATGATTTTTATATTATTTTCAATAAATGTCATCATTACTGTATACATGTTACCCCATATGGTGCTTTTTTTTCTCAAAGGATTTTTTTTGGCCTATAATTTTTTTAATTGAGTTGTCATGAGTTTTTTTTCTGCAAGGATAATTGGCTACACAGCTGTTTGCTCTCGTAAACAAATTGTTTGCTTTTGGTGAAGTTTTTATTGTGACATTGCCAGCTTACAAGTCTGCTATTATACAGTGCACTTATACAACTAGTCTGTGCCATTAATTTTTCTGCTTACTGGCCATTCCTACCACCATTGTCCTAAAATCTACTGGTCTGAATAAAAATTTTTATAAGATTCCAAGATTTCACTAATGTTTAATTTATTTTTTTAAGAATCATCATGTAACTGTTAGAAAAAAATGAAATCAAATTTAAGACTTTAAGAAAAAAACTAATAGACATGTCAGACCACTAAATTCACACATTCTGAAAAATCTACTGGTCAAAACAAAATTCGTGCCACGGGCCTAACACCAATGGCTAACGACACAGACTACTTTTTTTTACCTTAAAAAAACCTCAGTACTTCTAAAAAGGATAACGCCTCTCCTCACCCACTGCCAGATCAGAAAAGAATAAAATAAACTACAATGATTGAGGATATTTTTTATGTTTGGTCCTAGATTATAGGTGGAGTGGATGACGGTCTGTACAGAGGAGAGTTCTACTGGGCTCCCATGCACAGAGAGTGGTATTACGAAGTCGTCATCACGGACGTCATGGTCAACAACGCCAGTCTGGGCATGGCTTGTGTGGAGGTAGGGGGGAACTTGATGGGTGGTCATTTTACGAGATGTTACTTTTTTTTTTTTTTTTTTTTTTTTTTTACATGGTCAATAAATGGGTTTAGAATGATAAATATGAATAATTCAGCTAATGGAACTTACATTTAGCAACTGACCGACGTCGTAGTCCCAACATGAGACCTTTTACCAGGTACCTTAAATGACCTGGATGGACTTGTCGGAGTTATTCATTTTTATCAGTCTTATTCTACTGGATGACTAACAACATTCACTCAACTGTGTTTAGACTCGTCTTTAAGATATGTTGTTCCATGCCAAAAAAGTTTTGACAATTGGACGTAAAGCCTGTATTTTGTTTTTATTAATAAAACAATTTAATTGAAGGCATTAGTTTCATTAATAAAAATATAATAATGTGCTGTTCAGATGCTTGAACAGATTGCTTAAAAAATTAGGATTTAAGAAAAATATTGTTCCTTGGAACTTATGTTTAAGTCGTTGACAAATTTAACTTAAGTCCATGTTTTTTCCTCTTTCATTTTACAACCTCTACTCTTTGTTATTTAGTACAATACAGTTAAGACGGCAATTGGCTTATACAACATCTAACTTCCTGGTTTATTTTATAATAAAGAAGACTATTATGAGGTATTTTACCTTGCTACCATTTCTCTCTGTATTCCAGTATAACACAGATAAGACTATAGTAGACAGTGGAACCACCAACCTTCGACTCCCGACCAAGGTGTACCACCAGCTGGTAAAGGTCATCAGTAAACAACTGAAGGTAAGAGAGACTCTCTTTATTGAAACTTGAGCATCTCCTTTTTTCTGCCTTGACTTTTAAAACTTGAGTAGGTTAGGGTGTTTCTTTTCTTTTTTTTCTAGCTTAAGAAAATGTTTTTTCTAAATCCAAATGTTGTGTTTGATGATGAAGTCAAATAGATGGTGAAAGGGAAATATGATTCTATATTGTGGCCTAAAATACAGGTCGTAAAATGTCAAGTCCTTAAAAAGCTCATCTGGCTGAACAATGACAGTCTTTTTTTTTTTTTTAACTTATTGGTGAACAACTTCCTGATATCAGAGTTATACATATTTCTCATTCTAATTTTACTGGATGACTAAAACATTCACTCAGCCATGCTAATTTGGATATCTTCTTTTTTCTTTCAGCCCATAGACCCCCTCCCTCCACCAGATTTTTGGACAGGCCAGAAAATGTTGTGCTGGTCAGATGACCAGGTGCCCTGGTCATCTTTTCCTGTTATCTCGTTAGCTCTGGCCAATTCTCAGGACTCCTCCATTGTACTGACAATTTCACCACAGGTAACTTAAAAATTGTGTAATATTCAAAGGAATATGTATTATTTAAAACTGACATTGTTCATTTGGGTAAAAAATCAGCAACTCAAAATTTTTAATTGAAATGATTTTAAAGCTTACAGCATTCATCAGGTAAAATAACAAGTAACCCCAAAATTTTTAATTGGAAGTAAATTACATGATTGTTCCAAGAAATCTTGTAATTTGAAGGACATCAAATATCAAATTGGTCTGTGGACATGCAGACTTTTTTCCCCTCTGTTCTGCAAGTTTGACAGTTTCCCATGTCAGGTCTGTATAAATGCAGGTTCACTGAAATATGATAGCATATTTATTTAATTCCAGATGTACCTAAGAGCAGTTGACAACCTGCCAGGCGATGGATGTTACAAGTTCTCAGTGGCGCCCTCTAATACCGGTATGTTTTTAAGGGTTATCTGGGATGATGGTTTATTAGCCTGGATTTGCACGGTTTTAAGTGACTTTTAGTTTATTTATTTATTTATTTATTTATTTATTTATTTATTTATTTATTTATTTATTTATTTATTTATTTATTTATTTTATTTTATTTATTTATTTTTTTTTAATGTCAGTAATTTATTGTATTTATAATAAAAATAATACTGAAGGCATTTCATAAACTACTGTCACAGTGGTTTTCTATGGAGCCCTGCTCATGTTTTAAAAATCAACAATTATGATATATACTGTTATGGTTTTAACCTTGAAATACATCAAATAAAAAAATATCATTAGACACTTTTTTTTTTATTAAGCATATACAAACACAATACAGCACATTACAAAGAAGGCAAACATACAAGGACATGAAATACATCATAGAATCAGAAAAACACATTACATTACAAATACAAAAAGATACACTACATCAGTACTGTTTTATAACTTAATACAATACAAACACTTCTATGGGTGCACAGTCACTGGAATATTATTTTAATATTGTAGAACGTGCAATACAATATACAAAATTCTACATTACATTACAGAGTACATTACAAACTGAATAATACGTAACAAAGCAAGGTGATACTGTGCACCAGTATAAGAACTAGAGATATAATAATTTATTTATTTATTTATTTATTTCTATTTTGCTTTTGACTCTCATTTAGTGTTTGGTGTAAAAGGATTTGAAAAATAATTACATTATGTTTGACAAAAAAATGAGCAAAATTTTCTCTGCTTTTCAAATTAACTTTATACAATATTAACCTTTTACGCAATAATCTTTTCAGGCAGTGTATTGGGTGCTGTGGTATTAGAAGGCTACTATATTGTGTTTGACCGGGGAAATAAATCTGTAGGGTTCGCTGAAACCACATGCAACCCAAGAACTAAGGAAATACCACCTTCTAAAGTACATGGCCCAGTGTCAACAGGTGTGTTGGTATTTATTTGTTATGTGAAGTTAAAAGATGTAAGATTTGCATGGATTCCTTGCCATGTTATTTATCTGCCAGTCCTTGAGGCATAGAGATGCAAATTGATGTATTTTACATTAACATATAATTTTTTTTTATTCACATTAATTTCAGCCAACACACAGCAGTGCCAATATGTAAAACCTGAAGCAGGTACGCCCCCTATGGTCATCGTGGCCTACGTAATGGCTGGAATCAGCGGCATTTGCATACTTCCCCTCCTCATTCTTATACTACAGTGGAAAATCCAACAGTGTCGGAAGCAAAAGCAGACCGTCACAGATATACAAAGCTTGATGGCAGCTGAGGACTAGATGATGTAGACAGGAATAGAACTGGTTGTGTCTTGACAAGTGCTGCCCTCTTTTGCACAATAAGTTTAGAGTTCAAAACTGGGAACAGCATAAAATATTGTCTGGCAGTTTTGTCTGGGTCAAAAGTATTTATTTTTTTATTTATTTATTTATTGTATTTTTCCTACAACTTTTTTATATTTTAGTGTCAAAAAGTAGTGTTATCAGTTGATTTGTTAAATAAAATCAGCAGTGCAGATTTGTATTGGCTGTGTCATGTGTTGAGCTGCAGTCTGGACACTTTGGGGTGGGGGCATTGTTAGCTGCATAGTTTTTTCTTTTCTGAACCAATTAAACTAATCTAAATGGGGAATCAAGAGAAGGGTTGATTATTGTCTTTTGGTGGAAAATTAATTTTTAGCATGCCCCAGACTAACTTTTCAAGTTGTTTTCCGTACTTGAAATGAAAAGTTTATCCAAGATTTTCTTGTTTGTTAAAGTAATATTTATACATGTGTTTTGATTATACATGTATCCAAGTGTTTTGATAGTCTTTTTTTAAATGAAAAGGGTATTATTCCATAAAATACTTAATTTCTGCATTAGTATATCTGATATAAGTATCCAAAGAAAATGTATTCCTTTTTATGCTTATTTTATTGTAGTATTTTCACCATTTTTCAAAAAAAAAAAAAGAAAAAAAGAAAAGAAANCTTATTTTATTGTAGTATTTTCACCATTTTTCAAAAAAAAAAAGAAAAAAAGAAAAGAAAAGAAAAATTAAAGTTAAAGAAAGGGATAAGACGAAAAAGTCAAAAGTAAGTATTATTTCCACACCAGTCCGTATGATTTTGATAGCCAATTAATGTGAAAGCTAAGAAGATTTTGACATGTAACCATGCCACACTAAGTTTCGCATTGCTTACTGGTGGTCGTGCTCCATTTTAGTCTTTGCCCATTAGTCGCTGGGTCATCTTAGTCATATTTGTGGTACGTGCAGTAAGAAGTTTTTAGAAATAAATGTAAGTTTTCATAACTTTGACTTAACAAAGATTTTATTTCTGTATTCGTTTGTTATTGGTGTGGTACATACTGTTTATTGCAATAATAATAGATGACAAACTCGAGTGTCTTGTTTTATAGTTTCACAAAATGGCTATTGCTCCAAAATTGGTTTAGACTTTTTGGCATTTAATTCTTCATCGGTTCTAGATAATCCCGCACTTAGACGAGCAGATATATTATATTCCAAGATATATCCATATTCCAAGATAAATCACCAATAGAAAAAATCTAAAAATTTTCAGCCAGGTGTTTGGGGTGAAATCTTCATCTTGGAACCATACTTTGCCGGATCCTCAGGGACCATTATTTGTGCGGAGTCCATTCTTATTCTTATTCTCACTAATATAACACAATTTTAAAAAAAGGAATGAAAAAAATAGAAAAAAAGACCAGAGAAGAAAAAGTAAGTATAAACAAAAAAGGTCAAAGACAAATCCCGGTATTAAAATCCTTTTAATATATCATTATAAGAAAAGCCATGCGAAAACCGTTTTTTATTTAATTCAGCATGGTCTAATGTTTATACGAAAAAAACATTTATTTTAAGTTCATATCTATACCATCAATATACAGTTACATTCATTAATACTCGGTCTAAATTATAACAATGGCATTTGCATATTTAGAAATCAGACGGGGGGGGGGGGTAATTATGATAACACTTTCTGCAGGGCACTATACGCGTCATACTTCAAATCTGCAAAGGACTGGTAATTAAGAACGCATTTCTCTGTCGTGTTCTGCGTGTTGCTGATTTTAATCGGCGAAGCCATTTTGTTGATTGCGTCCATGTGGGCACGTAAGCCAACGGCAGCGACACAAATGTTAATTCCTGAAATAGACACACAGCTAGTAGTTTGTAATTGGAATACCAAATAGATTTACAAAAACAAAATAACCCTAAGAATAAAAACATACAAAGAACAAAAACCTCCAAAAAGAAAAAAAAAAAAAGAAAGCATTAAATGGACGAATCTCTGTTGTCCTAACTTTTTTGTCCCTTTAACGTAACAGTAGTCTATTCATTCAAGGCAATAGAAGCTCTGTCTCACCCTAGTTCTAGCACATACCGTCTTTCTTCATGGCCTCTGCCTTTTCTCCCGCATTACCCCCTTGTGTATATAAGCCGTCAGTGAACAGCCAGACAAGCCGCGGATCTTTGTCACGAAGCTCTGTATCACACAGTGTCAAAGCTTTGAATGTATCCGTCAAATAACCTGATAATATAATGAAAATACATAATTTATAAAATCCTGGAGTAGCAGTAAAGCTGTCTGCGTCTGCACGACGAAAGCGTTTACTAAAATGTATTCTGAAACTAATGTCAGATTTGCGGTACTAGTCCAGTGATTAAATGACTTGGGTTTAAAAAAATGTCAAAGGTTTCTTAACTGAAGTTGGTCCATCGATGGTCTAATGTAGCCTAGATGATTTTCCACCGGAATTCACCAACAGAAAAAAAAAGGACTACAATGATGGTGGAAGGCGTATAACACGATATCATATCTTGTAGTAGGTATCATTTCCAATGAAAAAAGTTTGGTCATTTATATGTAAATAGTACATACGTGTCTGCACGTGAATATGTGTGTGATTGTGTCTGCAAATGTGTTTGTGTCTGTGGGCGTGTGTCTGTACAATTGAGTGTGTTTCTGCGCTTGCGTCTCCGCGAGTTCATGTGCCTGTATGAGTACGTGTGCCTGAGCGCGTGTTAATGCGTGTGTGTTCTCGTCCATGTGTGTTTCTACATCGTCCATGTCACCACGATTTTGTGTATAAATAAATGAATCTGTAAGCGGCTACATGTGTATTTGAAAACACAAGCGTGTACAAGTTCATAGTGAAGTACATGCCATGAGCTCCATGGACTTAGGCCTATATGTGTCCAACTTACCGACTTTCGCTAGGTCGGCAATACTTTTATCGTTCATGGCGAACGTCGGGTGTTTCCCCAGATTGACGATGACTGTAGTCGTTTCCGTGCTGGAGAAGCGTACCAGACCAAACTTGTGCTTGTTTGTGTCTATACTGTTCGGGTCTGGGACGTTGTTGATGATGGCAAGGATGTACTGAAATAAGATTTAATTTTGTAAATTTAAGTAAAATTATTTTCTTGAGAATTGCGCAAGAACGTCTAATATCATATGTTGGTCAATTCTAATATAATGAACATTCATTTCACGAAACTCATTCACTTTAATCTTTTTTCATATACAAATTTGATAATGCAAAGCTATTTGAATAATACTCTTCTATATTGCTCGACTATTTTTAAATAAAAACTATATTTGTTTTTATCATCTGGCGTAAAAAAGTAAAAGTAAAAGAAAAAGAAGCATATGACGTAGTGAGCAAATGGTAAATTTAGTTGTTAATACACAATCAGACGACCCAAGTGCTGTGTTTATGACCCAAACCAGTGAATCTCACCCTGGCCGCTGCTTTTGTATACTCCCATTCTCTGAAGTCAATGCTGCCACTGCTGTCTAAAGCAAACATTACATTCCAGTAAGGAGTTTTGCCCATCAGAGCTTGTATGATACCTTCAGGTGTGAGAGCCACGGAGTCCAGAGCACTGAAGACCATGCCAACAGCGACCAGCAGCGCAAACGTGGTTAACTTCATCTTCGGTGACGTCAGGAATTTGGTCCAAGCGGAGACGGCGGAAGCGGAGAGACTTGTTTTTTTTTAACAGAGAGACACCGTCGTCTAGGCCGATATTTATACAAAGCAGTCACTTGCACTTACTAACACAGACTTTGCATTTATTACAATTTATTGCTGTTATGAACCAATCGTTGTATTTGACTCTAGGTGTTTTCTTTCCAGGGTAAGTTTTATTTGACCAAAATACTTGAATCTAGACACCCATAATGAAGACGACGGTATTTTAAAACAGTTTATACCAGATAATAATCAGGTATTCCTTTTAAGCCATGGGGATTTTTACCGAGTCAAACAATGCTGCCGTTGACACCTGTCACATTAATTTGTGAAAGGTATTATTTGAATCATAATTAAATGCTTTAACCTGAAACGTATGAACAGATTATGTAATCACTCTTTTCATCTTTCCATCTAAGTCCCTCCCCACAATTTCATCTCGATCTCTCTTTTAAGAGAGATTTAAAAAATATTTTAAAATACCAATTGTGCAGCTATGGGCTAAATGTGCCGGAAATAATGATTGAACAAAGATATAAGGATGTTCTAAACACGAACGAAGATTTTTAAAAGAGCCCATCTGGATAAGTGGGAAGGTAAAAATACGGACCTTGATAACACGTACCATACTGATATACACAAGGACTCAAAATGTCATTTTCCTAAACTGTTAACTGCAACCAACATATTTTTATTATCATTGTAACAATATTTCCTCTTTCAAAATATTCACTTTTTGTTTGTCTTATGCACAGCAGTACTTAAAAACTATGTAGGAGGGGCGGAAAAGAAAATTAAATTAAGTACATATATACTTTTAATTTAGAGGCGTATTACAGGTTTTCCCACTCTGTTTTTCAAGCAGTTCTATAGAGACGTGCGTTGTGGCAGATAGGGAATGGAGTATATAGGGGGCCTGGACATCTTTGTTGGTTAAGAGTGACACCATTTCAACCCCACCTTCCATCAAACCGGGGAACGTGCTTTGCCTCACAGTGCAACCCGAGACATTAAGTCTGCATTCCCATAGATTTAGATCGATCCATCTAGATCGACCTTATTCCCTGGGGGTTCACATCAGCCGGTAGTTAATTACCCCCTTACAGCTTTTAGTAGGCGGGACAGACGCTTAAGCCGGCTAAGCTGACAGTAATCTAGTGAGACTCCCCACATAGATCGGATTAAAAGCTGTGTGAATGGGGTCTAAGGTTCCGGGGGCAGCTGTCACCTTCCAGTGCCTTGTGCAGCAGGCCTCACAAACGATAATTGTCGCTTGGTAAACGCGATCCTTAGATTTGGGAGCACAAATGCCCAAATCAACGACTCCAGCCACGAATTAAAAACCTCAATGTAAAATTAGTAGCCATAAACACAGCGTTGGACCACACAAACAATATGTGCTCGTGGCTACTAATTCTAATTTGTTGCTCGAATCGTTAATTTGGGCATTTATTTGTGCTCACAAACTAGAGGCTCGAGTTCGTAAACGCCCATTACGTGTAATTACCAAATATTCTGATATTATTTACACATTTCTAAAACGTACAGGTAAGCCTACAAGATAGAATAATTAGAAACATTGTCCGTTGGACATTCATTCATTTGTGTTACCAGCTAGTCGTAAGTACAAGTATATGGAATACGCTGGGTACTGATGTATGCGTTGCTTTCACAAAAACAAGATGATAAAAATAACACCCTTTATAAATCACAGAATAAATTCCTAGTATATATCATGAATGTGGCTCGTGGTAACCAAGTTATAGGCAGTAAACTTACAGAAATTGTAAAGAAGATGGCATGCATCATAACTATTACACGGATGTAGGCATATTCATTGCGTTAATTAATAAGATTTATATTTCAGTTTTGAATTGCTTTTACATATATTAAGATATGTGTTTCAATACTTTTCTCATAAATCTTAAAATTTCGGAAAATTTTCAGAATTTAGTAAATGCCACACCGTTTTATTATTTTGTTAGACAGACAGAAACGACGGCAAAAGACTAGAAATACTACCGCTAAATAGGTTTTTCACGTTAGAACAGGGAAGGGGGCTAAATTTGACCAAAAAGCAACGAAGAGACTTAGTCATAGTACCGTATATAATTTATAACTTACTATTGCGGCTTTATTTGTTCCAATTTTCTAAAAATACGTAAGAAATGTAAAATAATACATTCATGTTTATTGGATTCATACTGGTTTATTTATATATTTATGATTTATTGTGCACGTGGTTATATACATTATATGCAAAAAACATAACCGTTAACATAGTATTTCTACATTGTATTATTGTAGATTCTGAGTCTATCAAATTCCTGTACAAAAAAAAAAAATTCGATACAATTAAGCGTTTTCAGACATTTAATTGTATATGTCTGTAATATACAATTTCATTGTTTTTAAAAACATTTCCTCACACCAATATCATGTATATACATAAATAAATGTTTAATGATAATAGAAAGCATACATAAGCTGCTTGTATTCTAATGAAAAGCTCTTAGGGGCATTCACGGTTATTGGGTTGAACAAAATTCAGCTGTTCTGTGCCTTTTTAATCCCCCATGCACTGCATCTCTGAGATGTAACACGTTCTACGCAAACTCACTACTTTGGTTTTCGTGGATTATTTATTATTAATAACACGATCGCGATAAGTAACTTGTCCTCGTGTATATTTTAACGCCATATTCATGGATTATCTTTCGAGCTAAAACCATGTATTCAGTTGAATCGTTCTTGGTGATCGAGTCTTTCTTGGTGACGCCCTTTGAGGTATTGGGGTCAAAGATTGGAAACATCCTTCCTCCTGCCTCAAGACTGACACATGCATGTTAGCGGATGTTTTTTAGTATTATGTACAACTTTTCAGCTAAAACTTTGTATCCTCTGTTGCCCCGTTCTTGATGGCTGGCTCCTCTCTGTTGACGCCGTGTGAGGAATTGGGGTCAAACAGTGGCAATTTCTGGAAACCCTCCTCTGGCACTTCCCAGAACTTCTCGTCATCAAACAGTTGGTCGCCCTCAGGGCGGTCCAAACAGGGGATCAGTAGGAGAAAACCTGTGGGATGAATAAGAGAGAGGGGTTTGTTAAAATGTCATAACAGTCGCGTTAAATAAATACGCCATTTTCAGTAATCGGTGCATCAAAGTTGTGTACATGTACTTGTAATATATATATATATATATATATATATATATATATATGGCGACTTTACGTAGATGTATCACAAATTCTTAACGAAATAGAAGGGCGGATCTTGTGAGCCACAAGGTTATAATGGGCGGCGTTTATGGACAGCATTCATTCTTTTAATATATTTAAAGTATTCTATTATTTGCTATAAACTACTCCAAATTCAGACTGTTGGAAATGCTAGGCTTACGATGTATGTGGGGATGGTATAGACCTTTCCGGATATGAAAACACTATCAGGAAACCACGCTGACCAATGATGCAGCTGCTGGCAGTCCACAATATTATAATAAAACGATTTTTTGACACAGATGATATACTTGACACAGATTCAGATTGCACTCACCAGTAATTGTCCCTCCCAGTAAAGCAATGCCCAAAGTCACGCCCAGTGTCGCCATCTGGTAGCCGGCCTGCTCGCCTGCCGTGCGACCGAGACCAGCTTCGATCTCGCTGAATCTCGCCTGTAGCTCCTGTAACATGGTGGAGTTTTCTACAGGGGAACGGGCTGGGAAAACCTGGTACAGACTGGAAGTGTATTTGAGTAAATGGATACAGATTAGGTAAGCTACTGCACCATTCCCATTTTCTATATGTAGCATCGTTCAGTTATCAGTAGACTTATTCGACGCCCTCTGTTTTTAAGAAAAATGTCATTACAGCGTTGTTGTATCGTGCGACATTCATTTCTAAAACTTTAAAATGAGGTCATCATTTGATACGACTAAATTACTATATGAAGTGTGCAGAAAGACCGTCAAGGGCATACAATGTAGAACTTCACATTTTTGGTCCATAAGATTTTAAGATGGATTTCCCTAACAATAAATTGGTTTTCGTCTATTTTTTCGGTGCAGAGAGAGAGAGAGAGAGAGAGAGAGAGAGAGAGAGAGAGAGAGAGAGATCTGCATACCTGAGCCCGTAGATATCGGTGCTGGCAATGGCGGCTAGAATAGCCCCAGCAATGGCCGCCAATATTCCCGGCATCCCATGGAGGTTGTTCACACCACATGTATCGTGAACCTTAGCCTTGGTGCTCAACAGCGGCTGGTATAGGAGAGGTTTATATCAAATATGGACATATATTACATATTCACTGAAACATGTTTTTATTGGATTTCGTTTTGTTTCTTTGGAGCAAAAATCTTACCTATGCAGCAAAAACGTTTTGCCACTTTTACCACATTTATTAGCACATACTATTGTTGCCATTTTATGTGCCGTTTGTTTTCTCTTTGTAACATAACACAAGCTGCAATGGAGATTATTTTAATCAATCTCTATTTTCTTCCAAATGATTGGATAGTCTTGTGGGATTCTTGGGCCGAGAAAATGTTATAATATCAACAATGCAGTGCTGCAATCAGATAAACAAAACGTATCCTAGTATCGTTCACAACTTCCTCTTCGAAGAGAGAGAGAGAGAAAGAGAGAGAGAGAGAGAGAGAGAGAGAGAGGGTGCTGGCGGGAATAGTTCACCTACCGTGAGGTACGTAAAGCCGAGAGTTGAGATCAGGGCGGCAGAGGTCCCCACCAGCATTGCCCCCCAAGGTCGAATCATAAGGTCAGCACTTGTTCCTATGGCAACACCTCCTGCCAGAGTCGCGTTCTGAACGTGCACCTGTAGTTGTGAAATTAAGGACTGCATGTATTTGTCTATATAGAAGGATTTGTTCAATTTCCTTACTATGGATTTAATATATGAAGTTCTATTTTATAAAAAAGGAAACAATATTACAACCTGCTTTCAAGTCTGATTTGATAATTCGTTACTGATTGTGTCTTACTGCAAATGGAAAGAACCATAGATAAATCTGACTGATTTGGAGAAAAACCAAACTAAGCAATTAAAATGAAGAAATACGGTCAAACATTAAGATTAAATGCAAACAAGTTCAAGTCTTAATCTCGCCATCACTGTAAATAAATACATTTTAAATAAATCAAGTTCTTTCAAATGTATTCATTAAATTTTAAAAAATTAAAATTTCTGCTAGCCTGCTAGTTCTGACAGAGTGACCTTCACAAAGCTGAACCAAAGCTGCGTTTGTGACATTGTACTTTGCCTTGACGTTAAGAACTGATTTGACTTTGTGTATATGGTACGCATCCCACTTTACCTCTTCACGTCATCGACGCAAAATTTTTGTACGCACTCACCATGTTAATCCGCCCCTTAGCGTCTAACGCCGAGGATATGGCGAAAGTGACAACACAGCAGGCCGCCAGGGAGAGGTATGTGTTTATCACAGCGCGGTGCTGGTCGTCCCCTGGAGCCAGAGCGCCGTTGAAACTGGGCCAGTACATCCACAGGAATATGGTTCCTGAAAGAAACAAACTGCATGGATTAGTACCGCCCTGTGTTTAGACGATGGCCGTTTTAGGAATGATGGCAAATCAAATGATGCACCATTCAGAAAACTAAAAAGGAGAAATAATACATGAACGTAGCCATGGTCAAGGAGAATTATTGGAGATGTGAAGGCGGGGACCAATGTAAGAATTAAGGACAACAACCGGCGAGCTTTAATGATATTTTCTCTCAAGCGAAGGTGCGCTTGTGTAATGGTCACCGCACTGTGGCGCCGCGGCGGTAAAATTAGAAACTATCCACGGAGCTTCCTCTCTACCAGAACGACACCAAACTCACCTATCATGGAGAACAGATCAGAGTGGTAGACGGATCCCTCCTTATCGCTCTCCTCTATGTCTTCCCGCCATAAGACCCTTGCCACAGCCAAACCAAAGTACGCCCCGAATGCATGGATGAACATGGATCCTCCAATATCCACCGCCTGGAACACGTGTTAATATAGGATTTAAATTAAGTTCTAGAAAATGGAATTATAAAAATGTAAATCCCCCCCAACGAAATTGGATAGAATTTCTAATAAAGAAAAAAATTGCTACCGCGCACTGTGCTCCTTTAAATCCATTTAACGTGAAACTGACTTCCTCTCAGTTATCTCGCCTGTCTACACGGTCGTAAAGGTATTATTGTACATTCTTTCAATTAAAAAACAAACGCATTGTCAGATTTCAAATAATAACAAATTTTAGCCCATTACGACTCATGCAATTCAACAGTTATTCTTTGAAACAAATGGTAACGCCCTGTAAAACCAATCAACCCTACAGAAATTCTAACTACTCCACACTTCTTTTTTTCGAATACGTTATACATAAAATGATATCGTCTTAACCTTGAAGTATGTGAGTCCGATCATTTCATTGACGCAGTAGAAGATGATCTCAAAGAAAGCCATGATGACGAGCTGGAGAGGGCTTGTTTTTCCCAACACTGCCCCAAAAGAAATAAGTACTGCGCCGGCTCCAAAGTCTGCAGCTATCATACTTGTAAAGAAAAGGAGAAAGTATAGGCAAAATGATGAAATGAGAAAATTATTTGGTACTCTTTAGAATATAATGGTTACAAAACAGTACATTAGGTTTTAGTCTTAGGCTCCAGATAGCCAGATAAACAAAGAGAAACAAATCATACTTGGTAAAAAAGAGACAAAAAGTAAAATACAATAATTACATTTAGACGCACCATTCAATCCGAGTAACAAAATTCACTAACTGGTTTCATACAACGTTTTTGGTTTCATAATGCTTTTGGTAACATTTTACGCCCAGTTTCAGAAAAAGTCACGCTTTAGCCAACAGGTAGATGCAATTAGCACAACCCATAACACTATTTATCGCGTTAGTTGCGTTTATCATTGTACGTTTAGCTTCATCGAATGCGTTTCTGTCTTCTCTGACACAATTGTTCTGCTCTTATTTAGACCACCTAGGTTGATTGAATCTCAAATTATCAGCCAGATGCGTATTGACCCGAGACGCTCCGGCTGGCCTTAGCCTTACCTTGTTACATCTATCTTGATTTTTCCATGCTCCATGTGCAAGAAACCCGCCATGAGGATCTGCCACTGTACCACAAGGGCGGAGAGGAGAAAGTTAAACCCCATACTACCGAAACCGTAACGCTTCAGAAACGTCATAAGAAAACCGAACCCGACAAAGATCATAACATGGACATCCTGGAACACTGAAAAAAAAATTAAATAAATTAGTGAGAATTTAAAGCATATTTAAGGTAGTGGATGGAAATAGTACAAGTCTCATTTTAATGGGAGAATCACGGCGAGGAGTGAGCACGAAATAGATAGATCTATCATTCTTTGGTCTCTTTTACCCTCACCTAATTTTGAGGTCAATTTTGTTTTCAACGATGCCGTGTGTTGACTTAATTTCAAGTTGCCACATTACATTAATTTTCTTTTGTTAAATTTTTCATGCGTCCCGTGACTTGTAGGAGATTATAATGGCACATTGAAATTCCTTGCTTTTTTTATCGATATAAGAAATGTCTCTTCAAATAGACATATTCCACATGGGCCACCGCTCTTTTTGTCCCCACTCAGGAGAAAGATGATCGAGTTGCGAGTAACGTTCTCATTTTACTCTTCACCTAAATAGCGCCCGCTCTTCAGAACAGACACTGTAAATGACATGAAATGATATATGGAGCGCTCAGAGATTCAACAGGATAGTGAGTTTTATATGATGGTTAATTTTCAGTGAAGTACGACTCAAAAACACTGTGTGTCACTTTTTATTCAAACATATTAGAGACCCATCTGCCGAGAAGATAAAAGTATCAGAGAAAAGGAATAAGAGAAAGATAATAAGAAAAAAAAATGAATTAAATGTGCATTTGCCAAATATTGTATTTCATTACGCAACACCGTTTTTGTCTGTATTAGTCCATCTGACGACTAAAAAACATTTGTGACATTTGCAAACCTAGCATGCTGTATACGAAGTGAAACGAGGAGGAAAAAACGTTTTCAAAGCAATGCAAATAGCAGACGTTTAAACTTACTGTTTCAATTAGAAGTAGCACCACAAAAGCAAAATGTCTTAACATCATTAGCCCAGATCTGGAGGTTGAAGGGGAGCATGATCAAAGCATCTATCTTTTACACGTAATTAACGCATTTCAACCCAATCCAACCTTTCTCCAACAAGTGGGAAAATCAGGACAAGGTGAACAGTATGAAGGGTTATGCCTGGGAAAGTGATTAAACAGCTTTGTGTGGGTAGAAGACTTTTTGTCGGAGGGTTTTTTGGCACGTGTATAATAACAATAATAATAACAACAACAACAACAATAATAATAATAATAATACAAGCTTCATGTTGCGTGTTTTTTTTATGGACAAAGGGGTTTGGGAGGCTAGCACTAACATGGAGAAGAGCAGCAACGGTGGAGCCAGCATATAGTTACACGTTTGAGGGCGGAGTCAGACATACCAGTAAGATGGGGAATGGAAAATGAGAGTGGAAATGCCATGTTAGATAACCGTAAGCCCATGGAAGTGACACACTTCACGTTAAATGTCAAAACACTGTTTAAAGTCTTGCAATGTACATGTGGATCGAATATTTTGCCAAAATGTATTTCGGCATAGATTTTAAGACGTGTGCTGAATTTATATTTTTCTTATTCAGTTTTAAAGGTTTTAACATAATGTGAAGCTACATGTAGAAAAAACAGTTGGTATTTGTGTTGATTTTTGGTGTTTTGATTTATGTATTAACATTACAAAATATTAATTAAATCTCCATTCAGAAAGCAGTTTTGTATGATATTTACAAGTCTAAACAAAATGAATGCCAAAAATTTAACACTATTTATTTATATACATGTAGTTCGTGTCGAACAGAACATTTTACATTGCTTTATGTAACAGTGTATGTTAAGTGCTATACAGTTTGTACATCCATTTAAAATACACCCTATTACCCATGCTATTCAACAAGACGTCTTCAGTAATAAAGAGAGCGATGGTATGCATTAGGACAAAATATAATGAGACATTAGATCCACTAGCGGCAGAATGCGACACCCATAAATGTGAAAAAAGAAAACGAAACCCACCACTTAAATGTCAAATAGTTGTGCAATGGGGAGAAAGGATTACGTAGTGCTTCGTCTGCGATGGCACCCAATAAAACCTAATTTTTTTAGCATTTAAAGGCGGCACTTTTTTCTCTACATAAAAGAATTAAAAACGTTTTTTTGGCTCCAGCTTTGTGCAGTCATTTACGTCAAATTACCAGTAAGTTATGTGCACAGAGAATCGCAGCACCGATTTTTTTTCTCACAACATATCAAGCATTATGATAATTTTAAGAATTAAAGATATTTGTGGCTATTTTTGTCTCTTTAAGCGTTTATTCCTTATACTTAGTTTTCAATTAGGTTTTTATGTAATAGTATTAGAAAACAGCGCTGAAACATTTTTGTACAGCGGTTTTCAGTAATACTTAATAATGATTATTATTTATATATATTTACTGACACTGATCTCGAACTATCCAGTGCTTGAAGTGTTAGTCGTGACTACATTAAAACCGTGGAACGCGACACAAGATTTTGTAGAAAACAAAGCTTAAAGAGATAACAACTGTTCATTTTGACCAAAAAAAAAAAAAGATCATTACAAAGGGTAGCCATCTATGGAGGTCATCTGGTCCGATGGCAAGCACAGATAGCAAAACAATTGCGATCTATAACCGCCGTTCTTCTGGTAAAATAGAATTTATTATATTTCTGTGATTTGTTTATTTGCATTTATTGTGGAATGTGAATCTCATACGAACAGTTGTTATCCCTTTAACTCAACAAAGTTGTGTTGTTGTTATGAGGGTTATTTATGTATGTAGAGCGACGAGCTCAATGGATAACGAACATAAACGGGGTTAAATTGTTAACTGGATTATATAAGGAAGTGACCAGCTCAGCAGAAGGACATTTGATTAATAGGAAAGTAACAGAGTGTAGATGACAAACTTAAGCCAACGGAGTGCGAGACATCACTATGTATGCTGTGGTTAATTTAGTCAACAGACTGTGAATCGATAATGTTATACGCTTTTTGAACGCTCTTTAAAAACAGCCCTATAAAATTAATTAACAGACATGCGTTCAGATTAACGCGTTTTTATATGTTGCAAACGTGGCTATCACAAATCTATTTTATAAACTGATTTTGTTCGGAAACTGTTCTATTCAAAGTCTTAAGCAAAGTCTCCTGTAAAGCTGTAAAACTGGCGGATGCGCTCGTTAGCTCGCGCGTGCCCTTGGGTTTGCCTATCATTGGTCCAGTCGCAAAGAGTTTTAAACCTAAGACCTTTGACTGTGACATCGGTCCCCATTTCACGGCTCTCTCAATTTCTACATGAGAAAGAATGTCCAAACAAGTTTCCGTTAAAATCTATGGACATTTTTGTGGTGACAATTTGTCTCCCTGGCTGTCCTCAGAGTAAACTAAGCGTTTTCACTCGCTGCCCTCCCTGGCAACGCAATGCCATTTAATAGAGTCTGTTTGTCATTTGACTTATTCGCCAGGTCAAAACATTAGTGAATGGCAACTCGATTCTCTGCAAGAGATCAAAGCTAAATTCTAGGCAGAATAATAAATAATCTAAATTAAATGCGGGGTGACCTGTTTGTTTCAGTGCATTTTTTATTACAGCGTATAGTAAGTGGGGGTTGGGGGACCATAACAGTAAATAAAAATGAAATACAGCAATATTACAACTCTCTCCATGGATGTTGCATTTGGCTGCATTCACATCACGATCATTTTAGATCAACTTTTTCATTCATGTAGGAAGCTTGTCACCAAATAACCAGATTGCTTCATTCGCAATGGGTTTTCCTTGCAAGCAGTTCGCGTAGGTCAACTCACTGTCAATGTCAAAGTGCTGGTCTCGCTGCAGCTTTGACGATAAATCGGTGAAGATATTATATGCCATAGGGCCGAAATATGGATAATAATAATAATAATAATAATAATAATAATAATAATAATAATAATAATAATATTGATGATAATGATCTCCACGTGGCTGAGGGGGTATATTCGTTTTTTAGAAAGAACATATTATCCGTTAAATTGTACCCTGTTGATGTAAGCGTTAGAAATACTGCAGCACCCTGAGTTTGGCGGGGCTTAAAGAAACGGTTTTTACCAAGCACACGAATGAAGATCGCAAGCCCTGAGTACGATATTGTGATGGTAATTTGTTTGCATTTTAAAATTACGTCAGTGTTAGATGATCCGCAGTTTTAAATACTTACTACTACTTGTATTATGATTGTGAAGGTCGTCTTACTTAGAGATTTTATAGATTAGAATAGTATTGCATAACAGAACCTTTGGGCCATGGCATTCGTTACAATGTGATATCACCTACAAAGACTGTTGCTGCAGTATTAAGTAGCCGAATGAGCAAAAGATAAAGTGTTAGAAATAATTGTTCCGTAAAAAAAAAAAAAAAAAAATCGTGCAGGTGCATGGTGTTTTTTTTTTATTAAGTTAGAGGTTATAAAGTTTTAAGGAAGGAGCGCAACTAAGATCCCGAAATCCGAGCGTACCGCATGTCACAGTTAAAAAAAGAGTACATGAGAAATTCGATAGAGGGACCTCGAAGAGAAGAACGGGAACACACTATTCCTTTGTCCAACAAAGGACATCGTGAAATTCTAGATGAGGGTTATTTCCAAGCTTTTGTTGCTCTTGCGCTCGTCCACACAAACAAACTGATCAGTTACCATCTATTCATCAAACTAGCTTTTTTTGAAAAGCAAGTCCGTATACGAATCTCTTTTTAACTTACTTTTTATATCAGATCTCACGAGGATTGATACCTTTGCCGCTGATACACACGTACAAGGTCAGAAATAATACTTTTGTGTGGACGATAAAATAGAGGTTAAACTTAATAGAACAGATAAAGAAGATGGAAACACATTGAAGGCGCTCTGCATTTCACAAATAATGACGCCTTTTAATATGAAACCATCTTAACATAATTTTGAATTTATTAAATGAAATATTCCATAACTAATCGCTTTAAATTCGAGTTACTTAACAGTCGGGAAATTATTTTTTATTCAACACACATACAATACAGAATTTTGGTTGCAAAATTCGTATTCATGGTTTCTTTGGTTGCAAAATATTTGGAAGCAAAATGAAGCTCGACAACGCTTTATAAAACCAGAAAGTTTGTCTTTATAGAGTACATGTGCCGTGTCAAAAGGTGTCAAGTCAAGGGTTGTTCCTGTGTAAAATGAAATCAGATCTCCCTTTCTCGCGTTCAACACTAATGAGATTTTTTTCATGAGATTTTTTTCATCAGTTTCTGTAGAATTCAAAGCTGACTCTAGTGACCTCTGCACGTGAACTCCGCTCTTGAACTTTGTATTTCATCAGCTTAACAGTTTTGGTCTTCTTCATTTTCATATAAAAAACACTCTCATATAATATACAGCAATATGCTGAGTGAACTCATAGTAACAAATAACATATATCCACCGGCATTATATTAAATAAAAAAAACATGCGGGTATAATGTCGCTACTATACTATGCCAACAGTTGAGTAGTACTACGTCTTCTGGTACATGGTTCACATTTTGTTTATATAATTGAATGATATTAATAGAGATATTACCAAGGTACTAAAAGGTAAGATCATTCTCACTCACTACTAGGCCATTAGTAAACGATACCGTGTGTAATCGCGCGTAAAATTTACGGAGTAAAACTTGATTACATAACCATAAGGCGTAGACCTATATACTATAGTGCAACAATAATAATAAACACCACGCGTTCCCGCACTAGGTTGTGTCTGTATTAAAAAGGTTCAAACTGATTCATGACAATTTTCAAATTTCTCTTGCAATCAATGAGTTAAACTTGTGCTTTCAGTTGCTGTCCCCCCATTTAAAAAGACTGTCATTTTCACTAATTTAACCTCGAAACGAATATTGAGAATGAGAAATAATTGTACGGTAAAAATTAAGGTGACAGACCCCCACCAAAAATACAAAGTTTTAAAACCCTAGCTAATCAGTATTTTTTTAAAAAAACCTTATCTACTTCCATAGCATTACCTTATTTGTAGACGTAGTAAAATGAGATGCACCTAAAAGTCATTGAAATGGCGTTTACTGTGCATTGTGTTGAGGTTTTAAGGTGACCTCGTAATCTGACGTATCCAGGTACCTTTCAGACGGTTCCCTGTATAGAAATTGAATTTTAAGCTTAAGATACTCGCAATTAACGATAGTTAATTACCCCTATCAGCCTCAGCAAGCGTGACAGACGTCTAAGCCGCCCGAGTTAATTGCAATTAAGCGAGAATCCCATCGGAGATAGTTTGATCCAAAGTTAGTACGATAGTCTCTGGGAAGGGTATCTAATTATCAACTGATCACTTCAATATCGTCTTTGCACCCAGCCTAATAAAGCGACCCCCACCCTCTTAAGTTTTAAAAGTACAAGCAATGCTTGCGTCATTTTAGTCGCAATTAAACCCTACTCATGTCACGTACAACCACAGCCTCATTATCAAAACTCGCTTACTTGGATAGTAGCTCTTAACAGAATTCGGCGTGGTCTCATTCCCGGTTGACATCACTGCGTTCGCATCATCGCCGTAGTCCACAAATATTCCAAACAACACAATGAAGAGAGCCTGCAAGACCAGCAGGACACTGGTCAGCTTGACCCTTGTCAGCTGACTGTCACCCATGTCTGTTTGTCACCCTGGTTTACGTTTTTGGATCAAGTACGACAACAGTACTCCTCGAAAGCAGCTACGTTGCGGTGAAACTCTGAAAGCGATCGGCGTGCGGGCGCTCCGTTATACGTTTATATTTCTTCTCACTTTTTGCCTGTCAGATGAGTATAACACCCAAAATGCCAAATATTCATCAACTGTTCGATTAACGAATGTTAAGGTCGAGGGTGTTGGAATAAAAGTGCACGTTCTGTAATATATGCCAGCAAACACCTGTTAGTCTGTTGCTGTTCAGAGAAGGCCGTTCTTTTTGATAACCCCGAGACAAATATATTTAAAACGTGCTGATTGACAGCTGAGTTCATATTGATGAAGTCTCAGATATGAAGGTGGTTGCACAGCCAGTGCAATGTAAACTGTTAACATGCCGGTCGAATGTTAACTGAAAGATCGATTTAGTGCACAGAATGTTCATTTTATTTTAATGAGGTTTATGTGTATTTGAAACAGTGCGTGTTTGACATTGGCATCCACCTAAACTACACTCGTACTCCTCCAAGTGCACCTAGGCCCTATGTTGACATTTTCTACAGCACCCTTGCAGGGAAGAGACACACCCTCCAATCGCTCACGGTAACGTCCAATCAAAATCGACATTCAACCCCACGCCTTCTTTGTCTCACCAATCAGAACACGGTATTTTAGCACACGCCCTCTCCCTGCACGCCTCTAGAGAGGAAAGCGGGATCAAGCTAGCGAAATGACCCGTATAGCACAGAACCCCATTGGACTACAGATATTATAACTCAAGATGTAATGCTTGTAAAAACATGCGCTTTCTTGTTAAGCATTGGCTCGTATCACTATATTTGGTCAAGAGCTCAATTAGCCTGTAAGAATTAAAATGCTGCACATAAGAAATGATGCGATGAAAAGGGAATGTTATAGAGGTTCCAGATTTACCGCAGGTCGGGGGGTGAGGCAATGAACAATTGGTACAAAATAAGTGTGTGCTCATAAATCACGTCTTTGCACACCTGCTACAAAAATCCCTCTTTACTAAATTTTGTATTTTATGTAATTCCCCCCTAAATAAAACCTTCACATCAATCATTTTCATGTACTTTATTACCTAAATGCCTTTTTTAAAAACCTGATCGCTTATGTAAAACTTAACACAGCGGTTGTGTATTGATATCTGTCTTATGCAATCTATGATTGTGATTTGATCCGGGACTTATTTACCTTGAATGTGTTCACACGTGGGAGATCATGCTGCGCTGGAAGAACACAAAGATGGGAAGTGTTATTATTTGCGTTTTGTGAACTTTGTAGATCGGTTCTCGACCATTCTGGGATGTGAAGATTACTAGAAAGTCGCCTTGATGATAATATAAGCAATGGAAGTGACGTGTACGATGATAAATAGATTCTAAGTATCTCGGAATTCAGGCCAGAGTCCAAGCCAAACAGACGTGAGGCACTGGAGTCTTAGTGTGATAATTTTCCGATGTGTTAATTAAGTTTTTTCTTCTTTCAGGCCTTCCCAACTACCAGACTCGGTACCTAGGGATCCTGAATTAACCGGTATATCGGACCACGCTACCCGTTTTCAAGGTGTGTGTCAGATCGCATTTCGGAGTATCATACCCCAGAACAAATTTTGTAGCACGACTGCGGGCTCATCCACGCTCGGCTGAACAACCTTAAACTGTACTCTTACTTTAGAGTACTCTATGGGGATATATGGGGACTTTACGACATTCGGTTTGAATGTTTTAACCACTTTTGATAGGGCTTTTTTTGCATTGCATTAGATTAATGTGGCAGTCTAAGGTGCATCTAGGTGGCTTTCAAATTTATGCACCCGGTTTTAAAATCATATGGCGATTTTACGACAATCGTTTACTATCCAATCAAGGTGACAGCCGAGCATGCCAGGGCTCATCCTGTCGGTGTTCTGGCTGATACTCCGAAATGCGATCTGACACACACCTTGAAAACGGGTAGTGTGGTCCGATATACCGGTTAATTCAGGATCCTTAGGTGCCGAGTCTGGTAGTTGGGTAGGCCTGTTCTTTGACACAATCGCATATCAGGTGACAGCGAAAGACAAGAAGGATCGTTTTCTAAATGTATGTTGTTTGATTGATGAGCAGTTGTAGGTACGTGCAAGGAATGGGCACTGAACCAGCAAATAGCATTCGGGTTGACATTTTATAATAAAAATATGATCTTTGTGGAATTTATGCGATCTTTTATGTATATGTTAATTACTCTGTTCTCCTTTCGCTGTAATCATATCTAACTTAATCAACAAAATACAGTCTTATAGGAATATCGATCATATTTAAAATATTTGAAAATACTTATTCTTTCAACCTCTACCTCTTTCTCTCTCTCTATCTCTCTCTGTCTCTCGTCAAGATACCAATTTGATGCGACCATAGACAGGGCTTTCAAGGGCACCTTGTTCCCATCATCGTCGTCAATACTTCATGCCGATACTGCTAAGTTTTTGTTTTATCATTTTTGACCCTTAGGTGCCCCACTATAGTTAAATGTTCTTTTTCACATATATAACGTGACTGAGAGAGATCATTTGCAGAAGTCTCAGTTTCAAGGTCTATTATAATTATGCCCGTTTCATTAAGTATCATATCTCCCCAAATACGTGTATGTGCAATGAATTGGGGCGTGTTAAACTAGATCAACAACCTTTGCACCCGCTACAAAGAGTACATATTATCTAAGTTATCTAAGCCTTTTTGCTAGGTTTCGTGTTCTTTTTGCGCTACAGGAAAGGGCAAATTTAATGCCTACATTAGGGCCTATTTTTAAGAATGATAAATTATACTATGTGGACTCCCTCTATGTATTGATGACATAAATATATAGGACAGAATCCCTTTTACAAAAATTGGAAACTTAGAGGTACATATGAACCGAGCATCAGTAGAGCGTGGATTCCCAGTAATACATATAAACGACTTCTACTAGATTCTTATACGACTCAAATAAAGTCGACATGCCAAGGATAAACTGAATAAATCACTCGATCAGCCATAAAAGAGCTTAAGACTGCTCCTTTCTTTGAATTTGTGGTCAGAAATTTAACCTACTTATGTGACCTACTTTTCTGCCCCATGTATATACAGGATAGTAAGCTAGCAGAAAAATCCATTCAAATATCATTTTTCGGGAAATATTTAACAACATCTTTTGGTAATTCTCTTATTATACTGTTTGAAACTATATGCCGGCATTTGTTTGATTTTTGTGGCAAAAAATTGACTTTGTATGCATCTTTAAATAAACAGTTACTCAATGTCAAAGAACAATTCTAAATCCAGCCATATCCAAAATACTACATAACTACTCAGTGGGCCTAAATCAGTGAATAAATGAAGTAATAGATAAATATGCCTAACTAATTAATCAATAAACAGATAAATAAATAAATAAATAAATAAATAAATAAATAAATAAAATAGAATAAATGGTCGTCCAAAAGCATCAACAAAATTCAGTCTTTGGGATACACGACCCTAAGTGAAACCTGAAGCTGGGTGGAGGTCAAGGTCAATTGGAGGTCAAGGTCATGTCCAAATACCTGTTCTTGAAAATATCTCCACAAGATGATGAATCTCTCTTTATGGTTGTTTATGTCTCACATTTCCATAACACTCACAACACTTGTCCATATCTTGGTAAACACACACACACACACACACACACACACACACACACACACAGATAGACATACATACAATGCCCTTATATATAAATGGGAGATTTCGTTGCTAAACAATCTGGGGACAAGACTGGGTAAATTTTGGTGAAAGAAACACGAACACATGAAAGTACACTTAACATACAAAGACGGCCTTGACAGCAGAGCGTGTTGGCTGACACAATGCAATGTCAATTCGCAACTAACACAATTAAGAAGTGGTCCCTTTCTGTTCCTAGTCTTATCTTTGACTTGGCTTAACCAAAGTTGAATATAGTTGAATGCTTATGAACTGCCGGAAACACACGTCAGTGTGAAATATCATTGTCATGTTAGGTCCAGATGATCGAGTGATTTGTGCATAGGCCTATTGTACTAAATGAGGAACAAAACGAGAACAGCCATTCAGCAAGGAAAATATGAATGCTTTAATACTGATTTCTTTGTTACTTTTAAAATAAGGAACAGCATCTTCTACAGCCACGATGAAGTTGTAGTGAACAGGAAGAACGCCCGGTTTGATGACAACTTCGACCAGGACGCCGGCAAAACTTCCATGTACATATACAGGGACCGAAAAAAAAAAAGAAAAGATGAGATTATAACAGTTGTCGAGAAAGAGACAGAGGAGTCGGGAGGAGGAGGAGGGCCATCTCGGCTGCTACATTCGATTATTCCGCTACTTCCTGTGTTTTGTTTTATTTCGAACAACAATATATTTATATTGATATGTATGATATGAATGGCCATAATATGTCACTCAATTTTCCTTATTTTTTCAATTTTTAATATTAAATGAGACTTGAATCCTAGTGTGCGATTTCCAATTTGTTGCTGACAGAATTGCGTGGCATCATATAAGACGAGAACAAGGGTGAGATCACACTCTCCCTCAATTCCCACAAAACTTCGATTAACTTTACACTTTGACTTTGGGTTGTCTACGATGTATGACCAAACAAGTTAACAAGGTTGGTCATGGCACAATGCGAGTGGCAATAATTCAAGCGTATAGGTCCTCTGACTGCGCAGCTCATTGTCGTGAAAAGAAGAAAGCATATCACTTGACTTTCAAGAAGTTAAGTGTTAAAAGCCAAGCCAGAGTGCAATCAAGTGACTTATTGGTTAAAACCTGCCATTGTTCTGGCTAAAGTGCAATGGGATCCAGCATGTTAGCTACTTTGGTCCAATACACAACTCCGCGTGCAGCTTTGTAATATACCACAGGCCTCATTACCTGTATTGACGTGTTTCGTTTTCTCCTAAAAGAGTCTAATCTTATTAGTTCTTTTTTACCAGCAGGCGAAGAAGCTTAAATAACAATCCCGGCGAATCATTTTGAACGTAACTCAGTGTGTCAAAATTGATTTTTTTGTTTTGACGTGTCAAGCTTAGAACAACAAACACCTTTAGAATTGGAAATTGGTCGTTGCAAGAACTCAGTTCCCAGATATCCAACAAACTATGGAAATCTTTTTTTCCATGAAAGGCAATATTCATCTAGCCTAACTTTACAATCACTCTAAACGGCCGCTTATTTTTTATTTGAAAGTAACTGTGTTTCTTTTTGTCTTCAAAGGGTTGTTTTTAGAGATAGGCACTATACATGCATGTAACAATCGCCTCTCTTAAGCATACT